CATGTGCATTGCAATCTTGTGCACAGTTTTAAATAAAAATTTTTTTATAAAGTTCCAGAGAAAAATTTAGTTTTTACCGATCTAAAACTCCTGAAAAATGCGAATGGCATATCGGTAGTCGAGCACTTACGAAATTTGTTTATTGCATTGATTACTGCCATAATAGACCGATTTTTTTAGTATTTTTTTATATCATCTGTTCGATTTTTAAAGTAAAAAATAACAAATAGATCTCTTTTCGTAAAACGCATATATATGGAATGTAAATTATTCTGTTTAAGATCGAAAAACAACTAAATATATGAATTATTAACTATAGAGATGATATACGATTTGAAACGACTCGTAAATATATCATATACATACTATTATATAATTTAAATTTTTTTCTTATAACAGTTGCAGTATGTTATAATTGGGTTTCGTATATTTAAAATGATCACTTCTAAATATATTATATTTTCCACTAACCGTGTGGTATTCGTGTTTCAGACATAACGATCATACTGATTGTTTCCATATTAGCTAACATATTAGCATTTAAACCAGACATAGAATCAAATAACTCACAATTCGAAGTTGGTTGATAGAAAATGGCCTTCTCACATTGAATTTGAGCTAAACAAGTTAATTGACACTCAAATATATTGAGTACAGTCCTAGTAAAGAATGGTAAACAAGCTGAGTTAGGACATTCGAATTGCCAACCAGTCATTATTGATACGTCAAATGATCGAATATCTTGTACGATTGATTGTTTAATGGAAACAAGCAGAAACAATAGAGAAATTCTTATTACACTCATAGCTACTTCCCTTTAACTTAATAATATACTTCTAACTCAAAATGAACTGAAGGGCATCTGCTGAGCGATAAACATCATTTCATTTCTTTTTTTTTCTTTTCCTTTTTCATTGTATTAAATTAACATTCAAAGACTCGATCGTAATGGGTTTTTTCTTAGCAACATCTAATGAAACTCCATTTTGAAATTACTGACAATATAATCAGTAAGAGTTTTTTTTTAAATTAATTTCCAACTAAAACACGTAGTCATGTATGTTTGTTTTGAGCTCTTACTCTAAGTAAAATATAAAAACAAATTCAAAGTGAGAAAAATAAAAAATACACGTTTAGTGCCAAATAGAGTTTTTTTTACATAAGATTAGAAATAATTGTATGAAATTTAATACATTATACAATCGTATAAAATCAACTTAATATTTTGAAACAACTTCCGATCTTTTATCTTATAACAAAACATTATATTTCTTTTTCTTGTAGCAAAAAATATCAACTCAATATTTTTTATTGTCTACATTTTTTTACTCTGTGTTACTAATTTTTTGAATATGAGAGGAGAACTAAGAATATTGCATATAATTTCTCCCATTAAGTAGTGACATCACAGTAAACTTTATTTAAAAATCAATTATAAAAAAAAACTCATTTTCCTCCAGTTTTTCATAATTTGTGTTGCTGATGGATATTACTATATGTATTAGTAGCCTTTTGTGTATCAAATTTATTATTTTTTTGATTTTTATTAAAATATTTTATTTTCATTTAAAAAAAAAGAAAACAAATTGTTCATCATAGATTCTTTTGTATGTCCTGAAGAATATTTCTATACCATTGAAAATGTGGATGATCTGGAGGTAATGTTTGTTGTGAAATATCTATAGCACGTTGACAATATGAAAGTGCTTTTGAATGTTCACCCATGCTGTTGTATACTTTACCAATATATCCAAAAGACATAGCCAAATCAGGATGACTAGGAGGAAGCGATTGTTGTCGAATTTGTAGAGCGTTTTCGTGAGATTGAAGTGCTTTGGGAAAATCGGCCATACTTATATATACGATACCAATATTGTTATAGGAAGTACCTAAACTAGGATCCTTGGATGGAAGTGATTGTTGCTTAATTTCAATTGATTTTTCATAAGATGAAATTGCTTTTGCATAATTGTTCATGCTATTATGTACGATGCCAATATTATGGTGAGCATCACCCAGTTCAGGATGATTCGGAGGAAGATTTTGTTGTCGAATTTGTAGAGTTTTTTCGTAAGATGAAAGTGCTTTCGGATAATCACCTAATTGTAAATATACCGTACCGATGTTATTGTACGTAACAGCCAGACTAGGATGATTGGGAGGAAGTGTTTGTTTTTGAATCTCAAGAGCTTTTTCATAAGATGAGAGTGCTTTTGAATAATCACTCATGTTATTATACACCATGCCGATATTGTTGTAGTATGCAGTTAGATCAGGATGATTAGGAGAAAGTGATTGTTGTTGAATTTTAAAGGCTTTTTCGAAAGTTGTCAATGCTTTCGAATAGTTTCCCATATTAAAATTCACCATACCAATATTATTGTAAGAAGCAATTAAATCTGGATGATTTGAAGGAAGAGCTTGTTGCCGAATTCGAAGAGCTTCTTCGTGAGATGAAAGTGCTTCTGGATAATCAAGCACACCATTATGCGCTATACCAACGTCGTGATATGCATTACCCAACTCCAAATCATCGCGAGAAAGTGATTTCTGTTTAATTTCAAGTGCTTTTTCACTAAAATAAAGCGCTTTCGGATAATTACCCATAATGTAATGTAACGCACTGATATTTCTATAAAGAGTAGCAAAATTAATATTATCAGGAGCATATATATCTTGATTGATAGAAAGCGATTTTTCGTAGAATGTTAATGCGTCTTGATATTCTTTTTGATGATTTTTTATCCAACCAAGTTGATAATATATTGGTGCTTTTTCAGTCTCATGATTTGTTTGATCGAGTAGAATTTCATATACATCTTGTGCCTTCTCAATTTGATTCATTGTAAGTAAAACCTGACCGAGTCTAACCCATCCTTGCTGATCTGACAAGGTTTCTTGTTGAATACGATCAGTAAGTTTACGAATTTCTTTTTCATCATCACTCGTAAGTGTTAATGTTACTTCATAGAGATGCTTGTTTGTATCTATTGGTTTTATATTGTCAATGTGAAAGATAGTTTGTATCGAGAATAGAACTTCATCTTCGATATGAAAATAACTCACATCAGTAATAGATGCGAATGGTGTAGTTGATTGAGCAGCATCGACATTCACGACGAAGACAATTCCAACTACATCTGGATTTATTGTAGCTTGTTGTGCAGTATCCAATGAAATATCACGATTCTTAGTAGTCAAGAGGAAGTTATTAAAAGAAATAAAACCATCTTTGATATTCTTCATTCGCTCGAAATCTTTCTTCGATAAACTTTGTCCACGATAAACAGTAAAAGATTTATTGAAATCATCATCATCGATTTGTTCGGAATGTAATCGTTGAATATTACGATGAAGATCATCGATGAAGAATCCCATACGAACAATGACACCTATATCTAACGATCGTATTGCACGATTAAGCATATGATATAAAAAAGATTTTTGTGTATACCACCATATTGGTTTTTTACTATAATATTCACTATTTAATTGATCGACATTGTCTAATTCATCATCGTCATCAGCAAATACATCACGACAATAAAAAATAAATTCTTCAAGATGTATTTCTCCAAAATCGATCGTTAATAATATTTCTTTAATTATCCGAATGAATATAAACGATGAATCTAGTAAATTAAAAATTGTATTATTTGATTGATCAGCAATATTTTTAGCAATAAAACTAATTGGTATCATATTTTGTTCATATTGATCAACTGTTTGTTCAAGTGCTTCACATAGAGATGGTAGTTCTGTGAAGACACCCTTTATTTTTACCCATTTTTCATACGATTCTTTATTTTTGCCAAAAATAAAAATCGCATCTACTTGAGATATATCGTGTATACGAGGTACAACTTGTTTTCCAAATGTATCTGATATAATTATATAAATCTTTCTGTCAGTATTCGTTTGAATGAATTGAATACATTTATTATCATCAGTAAATGCATTGATGTTTGGAACAATACGTTTCAATTGTTCTACTGTATTACAGCAATCAGTATTGTTATTGTCAATGTTATTATCTAACCAAACCAAAAGAATATTTTGTATTCCTTCAATATCAGTACGTTGTCGTACAGTTACATCATTTAAAACAAAAGATAATTGCTTTGACTGTGTTGTATCGTTAGATTTTGATGCATCCATTGATGAATACGTTGATGTATTTGTGTATGAATAAATGATCAAACTTGATTCTTATACACAGTATTCACCTTGTTTTTTTGTTAATTTTTTTCTCGAACGTTACGTATATTTTTCTTTTTATATTCAGGGACAAGACTTTTTTCATTTATTAATACATATCTTGTTATGAAAAACATAATTAACAACGTGTTATCATGCATGATAGAGCACAAAATAACTCATGAAAGAAACCAATTTTCTTCTTCTACAGAGTAAAAAAAAAAGAAACAAGGACGATTTTACCTTGTTCTGTCGTTAGTTACATTATTATACAAGAACAAAAAAAAATTAAAAGGATTTTTTTTTTGCAATACTTTGTCATAATCGTGACTCAATAATAATTCGTTTATATAAATATTATATATACTATGAGCAGCTTCCTTCTTGATTTTTATTTTCAACGAATAATCAATAATAAAAAAAAATGAGTAATTTTTCATGAGATCATTTTTTGATAATAAAAAGAGAAAGATTACATATTAAGATAAGGAGAGCAGTTTTGCATATCAAAAAATTAATTAAATATGACATTGATACAGGAAAATTAGTATCAACAGATTAGAAATACAATTTCCTTGTGAATATTATTATAGATTAATTATGTGAGCTAATATCTTTAGTCGATAATTATTGATGATCGAATATCTAAACGAACAAAACAATGTGTTATTCATGATATCATATATACAGACGATATTGAGCGATGCGTTCAAAGTTCAATACTAAAAGTACGTTCGTTGTTTCGTTCTGTTCGCCTATATATATATATACTATTGATCAACGAATGAATATTATTAAAAAAAATGATGCCGTATCTATCTTTATTTATCGTATTAATTTTTTGTTCATTGTCAATCGAAAATAATAATCATATTCTTATTATTGCTCTACCTACAATTAGTCATATGCTGCGTAAGTAATTTAATTTTGACGAATATATAAAATAATATTTTAATTGATAGCTTCATTAGAACTTGCTAAACAACTATCAACTCATTGTCATGTTACATATCCTATTTCAGCAAATAAAATCAAGGAACTCGAAAGTAAAGGTTTTATTCCCATCTCCAACGTTAACAGAACACTTGATATTGATGGAAATGATGATTTACTTGAATTTGAACTTCAAGATTTTCAAATTAAATTGAACAATACGACAAAGGTATATAAAAAAAATTTTTTCATTTCCTTCAAGTTATTATTTATAGATAAGTCCTGACAATCGTCAAAAATTGATATTTAATAATGTAATCAATCGAATGGGTACAGCACTCAATCGATTATTTCATTAAAATCAAAATCAATTCTCATTACAACCTCTCACTACTCAACATATTTCTTTACCTATCGATATGATTATCATTCGACCATTTACTCCATTATCATTATCTCAATTTTCAATACCTATTCATCTATTCTTACCTAGTAATCTACGTGGAGTTGTTAATTATATATGTAATCCTAAGACAGATGTTAATGAACGAAAAGAATTCTATGATTATATTCGAGAAAATATTCCTTATGCAACTGGCTTTATTTGTAATTCATTGAAAGAATTTGATGAAAAGTATATTGAAGGATTTTATCAATTATCTGGAAATTTAGCACCTATTCGTTTTATTGGTCCTATTATTTTTAATAGTCAACAATCAATGGAAAGCAAAGTAAATATTGAATTCGATTAAAAAATTTAACATATGTTAGCATATTAGACTAAGGAAATAATCGATTGGCTTGATAAACAACCTGTTGTTTCAGTTATTTATATCGCGTTTGGTTCAATCATTCGTTTACCACCATATACTATTGATAGTGTTGCTCATACTCTATCGAATTATTCATTTATTTGGTCATTAAAAATAAAGACATCATTTCCTTCATCATTAATGAATCTTGATTCTAATCGCAAACTTGTTCTTGAATGGGTTCCTCAACGTGCTATTCTATCACATCCTTCAATATCATTTTTCTTTTCTCATGGTGGTTGGAATTCTCTTCTAGAAAGTATGTTTCATGGAAAGGCATTACTTGTATGGCCTTTTGTTGCTGATCAATTTGATAATGCTCTTCAACTTATTCATATGGGTATGGCTTGTCAAGTATCTGATAATCTTCAAACTGATATTGAACATATGTTAAACAATAATAGTTATTCAAGTAAAGCTAAAGAAATTCAACAAATAGTTATAAAAGCTCAAGAAAAGACGTCAAAAGAACCAATCATTGATATTGTTCAACTTATGTCAAATAACCGAAAAAAACATGATGAATTTTAATTTAATATACAATAGTATTTCGCGATGTTATTTTCTTCGAATATATACTATTAAATAAAAACTTACTACATACGCTTCTTAAAACGAATCTTCTCGTTAATGATCCGTTTTCTCACATGCTATCGAGACTTAATTTCGAAGTCAAATAAATGAACTTTAACAACAAATCACATTAACATACGGTCGAAAGCTTAAGTATATACGCAAATTTGAATATAGAGATTAGAGTCGGTATTTTTATTTACTCCCAAAGCTCTGCTAAATCGTTGATGCCAAGTATTAATTGATTTTTTTAATTGTTTTCTGTAGAAAATTGATGGTAAAACGAATATGATAAAGATAATATGGAATCTAACGTGGAAATCATGTATTTTCATGCTATCTCTCAGAAAAATCCATTGCTTTATGAAGGATATTTCTACTTTTTTATATGTCTGATGAGTTTCTATTCAAAAACAGATCAAAATATTCAAGAAATGAAAGTTTTCTCAAAGAACGTGATTAAAAATGAATCCTGACAAAGCAAAATATTTAACAGAGTTAAATAAAAAAAGATATCAAATTAATCATAACTTATTTATTGATGTCAATCATCTATTGGCGATAATAGTGGATATCTTATTTTTAATAAAAACGCATTCGATGGTTAATGTAGGTTTTAATCAATTCTCTTTTCTCTGTATCATGTTCTTCTTCACTAAAATTTAAAACAGAAAGTGATTTTTTGGAAATAAAATTTTTTTTTTTTTATTCCTCGCAGAATTTTTTCATACATAAATTTTGTTTTTATAAAAATAATTGATGAAAATTTTAAGTTGTAAAATTATTCATAAGTAAGAATAGAAATGAAAATAAGTCAACGTGAGAAATCACTTCATTATTAACAACTGCACTCACTCTGTTTTCAGCACCTAAACAAAATTTTGATGATTAGAAGAAAAATAAAGTTGAATGAAATGTTAAAATACAACGAGAATATAAGAAGAACAAAAAAAACGTAAACACATGACATTGTTTCATTTCTAGTTTGTATGAGAAGTATACAGTAAAAAATTATTTGTTTTCTAAAATAATCGGAGTCTATATATTATATTATAGTGTGACAGTTATATATAATTCAATGCAAAATAGAAGAGAATAAGCTTGGCATTTTCAAGGCTATTGATAAGAGGTTTCTTTTTATTATTTCTTTCACACAATCAGAATTTTCTATTTCGAATAGAAAAAAAAATTTTCATGCATTGCAAAACTATTAATGTTTTAGACTATATTTTATTTTACAATGAAATTAAGTTCACATTTTATTGAACGAAAAGCAGTTGATATTTCTGGTCGATTAGGAACACTTTATGATGTATCGCAAGATAAATTGATTGATCAATATTCCGTAAAATCATCTGAAATACAATCGACTACTCAACATTCTATATGTAGAATATTTTCTGGTGCACAATTTAATAATATAATCGATGTTTTAAAAGAGATAAATTTTGACGATGGACTTTTACAAAGTATTCTTCTTAGTATTATTCAACCATCAGGAATTAGTTCTGCTATTGATTATACACAATCTATTAACGAGAATACTCGTTTTTTGTACTATGCATATGTAAGTAAAGAAGAAATAAGTGAAGATATAGATGAAATTGTTACATCTTCTTCATGTGCAACTCATATAATTATGAAAACTATTTGGGGTTTTGAAATTTTATGTATTTTATCGATTCCGAATGATCAATCTACTCATGCATTGGATAGTTTACTACGAAATATTGCTTATCGACTTGAACATAATGAAAAGGATTTCGTGCTGACTGATCGTGAAGAAGATGATATTAGTAATCTGACTGACATCACTATATTTGGATCAGAAACATGCATCGACAATCATAATACAACACTATTAACCGTTTTTAATAGAATAAAAAGTTGGCAAACAAATGAAAATTTCCATCAACCGCTACAATACACAATGTGTTGTTTAGAATCACTTTATAATAATGATCATCAGCCAGAATTATGTGATTCATCTAATCTAATCAATGATCAAACTTTAAATATTGAATCTATGATTATGGACATCGATATTTGGATAAAACATCTAGTAGAAATATTTAAAAAAATTCCTAAGAATTTCTCAAGTCGTATACTTAATAAACGATCAAATGATTTTCAAGAACAATTTTGTAATCTATTGACAATATATGGAGAATTTCGAAGTGACCTACGAAAATTACTTATTGGTATTCGTCGAAATTATTATGAATCGATAGAAATTGATAATGTTATTTCCGATGAATATTATTCATTACTGCAAATAAATAAAATAAAGAAATTTTTTTATAAAGTAAATCGATGGCTGACAAAAGCATTATTATTTGAACAATTAAATAATAATCAAATTAGATATATCGATATATCAACTATTCGTGTTGGAGGTCGTAAACTGACGAAAATTGAAGATATTGAAGCTATTATAAAACGTATTCTTATGAAAGAAAATTACTGTGACGTAACGGTGTGGTATTCAGATCATCGATTACAAAGCGAAGAACCAGATATATGGAAGTTCTTGTACCAGAAATTAACTGCAGAAAGACAACAAACGAATCATCGTATGATAATAGTGTATGCTGATTTTACTGACTGTCACTATAACTTAAAAGATAACACACTTCTAAGACTATCAATGCGATTGCCAGATAATGCTTAAGTATAAAGACGATTGTAGACATAACTAGGCGATATTTATTCTACATCGGCGTCTGCATCCACAAAAAAAATCATATTATAAAACTTTTAATTAAATATCATAATATAAAATCTTAAATATATTTCCAAACGAGATACTTCTATAAATACCCTCAGAGCTTGTATTATCGAAGAGATATAGGAATCAGATTTTATTTTAATTTTCAAGAAAACAAAATTGAGAATGAATAAATACAAGATAAAGTTAATGTTCATTTTTTTATATTATGAATATTTTTTCTTTCGAGTAATATTATTCTATTATGGGTGATTAGTATGTGTTTGTGTTTTTTGACTTTTTTGTAAAACAGACATTCGATGCGTTTCATCATGAATTCCATTCAGTCGATTATGATTGAAACGACAATATTGTCTAATAATCTTTGAAAGTTCCTTGCGAAAAATAGTACCCGTCAACGTATACAAATAAAAAGTACTTGAATGAGCAAAATATGTCAATTCACTTGCAATTCGAGCAGCTAAATTTTCTTGAGCAAGTCGAAGTGTATTTTTAACAACATTAAGAGTAAATGAAGAGTAAAGTTGAATAATAGATATGGGTAAAGTACAGATAAAGATTACGAGTACTTGAGCAATTAACATACGTAATAATTGAGTATCTGTTCGTCGAACTTGTCGATTAGTTTCGAAATTCACTGGAATTACAAGACGATGTTGATGAAGATTTTTCAATGTAAGAAGACCAAAAAAAAGCATCAAAATCGACGGACAAAATGAATATAAAGCCAAATTCCAAAATCCAATAAATGTACGATAAATACCTTTTCTACCAAAACATGCTGGTATTATATTTCCAAATTGATCAGATGAATAGCTTATTTCATAGTAAACGAGCATGTGACTATGCAAAAGAATAATCACAATGCTAGTGATAAGAATAACTATTTTTGCTATCTTCAATGAACTCATCTGACGAAAATGTGCATTTGCTGAACTATGTAAAAAACGATCGATGCATGCGATTACTATAAACCAAGAAGATGCTGAACGTGTTATATAGAATACAAAGAATTCTATTTTACAAATTCCAAGATTATAATTGGCTTGATCGATATTGAAACTTACTGCTAAAACACGTACAGGCTGTAGAATGAGTACATAAATTAAACTGAAACATGTTGACCAAAAAAAATATGCTGCACATGGTTCTCGACACATAGATGGTCGACTGAAAACAAGAATATTAAATATAAGTCCTATTCCACCTGGTATAATACTAAATAATGATAGAATCAGTATGGTTTTCGAGGATGCATCATTCAATTCATCGATTGTAACATTAACAAACGACATGTTAGTATTTCTTCAATATATATCTTATGGTTACAATCTAAATATGCAAAAAAAATAGATAATGAGACAGTAGAATTCAGTAACACATTACTGTGAGTTAGAATATTATGTTTTAACAGTATGAAATAATTTAAATCTATAGCAATATAATGAATAACTACTTTGAAATCTAATATTGAGTTACCTTGTTTGAGTTATAAAATAAATGCAACGTCAAACTGTCGCCTATTGCTTCGATACATAGATTAAAAAAAGGAAGTCGGTATTTGCTTACGGCAGAAAAAAAATTCATAAACTAGTGATTATAAATAAGACAAGAGCTTTTCTTCAAGTACATTAGATAAGCAGACAAAAGTTTATAAATTATAATTCACGATGATTATGGATTGGTATTGACACAGCATGAAAAGTCTTTCATATCAAGGTGATAGTTGAATAGAATATTTAATAAGTACAGTACTCACAGCAGATATGATTTATGTAGTTATTACCGTTAACATTCTTATAAATAGAATCAGTTTCTTCTATCGATTACATATAGATATAAGAATTGTATATTCAGGTAAAATTTATTTTATTTTATTAAAGAAATGTAATTTTGTAAGCATCTTATAGTTGACATGAAAACGACAAGCATGACATCCATTTTCATTCTTAAAAAACTAATATCATTTATTAGAAATCATACATGTGTACCGATTCACTACGAGCTCCATCTTGAATATAAAATAATTACCGAAGGGTATCAAAAAAATATGATATTCCTTCGCGTCTCATTTTAATTAGATTTTATGTACTGCTTTCATCTTTTTTCAAGAAAAAAAACTATATTATGTTGGACTAATTTATGTTTGTTGAAATGTGTGTGTTTACATATGAGAAATTCACACAAGTTTTAGTTTGATTAGGATTAGATTTTTATCAGAGTATAACGCTTAGGTCAACAAGCCTCTATAGCTCAGTGGTAGAGCGCCAGTCTTGTAAACTGGAGGTCCGTAGTTCGATCCTGCGTGGAGGCATTATTTTTTTTCTTCAACATTTCAATTTATTCACTATTAACTTTAACTGAAAGCATTATTAGAGCAAAGTATCTGTATATCGGAGTTAATTATTTATTATAGGCTTTGACATCCTATAAAAATCATAAAACTCTTAAACAATTATCTATGTTCTTCACTATAAAAGAAAAAAATACAAACTGTATACCATTTGATAGAGCTTTTAAAGAGCTACAGAACGAAGTATTCAATATATTTTTGTCTGTCTCACTAATATTCACTAAATATGTATTAATTGAAAATCTGGATTTTTTCTAACGATTACTTAACAAAATCTCATTACAGCCTTACCTTTCATGATGTTACAATAAATTGTTTTCATCTTTCAAAAGTTCTCAGTCGGGATCATGTTTTTATCAAGGTAAAGGAAATTAATATACTTCAAGTCTTTGTATACTCACTTACATTCTCAAGATGAGTTTGTAAGTTAAAAATAAATCAGAAAAATCTTGGATAGACATAAAATAATTAACATGAGATACAGGAATGTGCCGCAAAGAAAAAAGTGAGGAGAGGAGTGCAGAACAGTTTCTTTTTACAATAAAATGTACAACTTTGCTGAGAAAAACTGAAAATTTTTTAAAAGCGGAAGGTGCGCACCCTCCTACACCTCTAGGACGGCACATTTCTGATAAAACACATTATTTTATTTATTATGAAATAGATATTCGTGTTAGCGTGCCTTTTCTGTTTCTGAGTACGGTCAACTGTTGACAAGATTTCTTTATTTCTTCATCAAATTCTTTCACATCAACAAATGTCGTTCCTTGACCACGTGGCATGATATGATAATTATGACCATAAGAAATATCAGTAATTTGTTTAACTCTAACTTGATTATCAATTTTTAGCATAGCTGCATGAGCACATCCATCGCCAATATATTCTCGAATCATTAAATCATCTCGAATTAGTTCTTGAATAAAAGTTTGAACTCGTTTTGATTCATAAAACCATTTCAAACGAATAATAAAAAAATTATTATAAATACAACTAGAAACATCGGATGTATCGTAAAGAAAATGTTCTAGAACGGGTACCATCGGTGTAATCGGTTCCCAATATTCAGCCCGATAAATATAATCGAATTTTTGTCTATGTATATAAACAAAAAGATCCTTTTTAGTTACATCAGAAAAATATGAATCAGCATCCATTCTCATGAGATAATCGTAATGACCTTCAGTAATTGCCGGATGATAAAAGATATCATACGTCCAAAATTGACACATAATACGATATCCAATTGTTTTGGCTAATCGTGATTCATTGGCTGGTTGTGATGATGTTTGAAAATTGGCAAGAGCAAATGAAATATTCATTTGTGTATTGTTTTTAATTGTACATGATAATATATATTGACGCATAACAGAAGTAAGATTTATATCATGAAAAATAATTAATGGATAGAAAGTATTATTCTTAGTCGAATGAAATTTTACTATTGAATGAATCATATTAATAGTTAAAAGAATTGTTCGAGTATCACTACGAATAAGTGTTGTGATGACACCTCGTGGCTGAATGTAATTATCTTCTAATCGGAATGAGTAATTTTTTTCAATAATATTAAAGCATATAGGAATGATAATAACAATAATTAACAATATTAATATTTTTGATAATGAAACAGTTCCAGTACAATAGTTCAACTTCATTATAAATTGTTAATAGAATAACTCATTTCTTCTATAAAATGTTGAAAATAAGCAATAATCTGTTTATTTATTTAAGTGTTCTAAAAGTATGATTTTAATAGTTTTTGATTAACTATGTGAACAATCACAATTGGATTATACTTAACTCACATTATTCGGCTTGTAAATATGATAGAATCTAACAATATAAAACACCCAATCTTTACCCGTCCTTCAAGTCGTTTAAACTCACTATCGATTAAACTATACAACGCTATTGTTAAACTTTAAAGAATTAGACGGGTCGGAAAAAAGGGCTGGGGGTGACTGTCAAAAGTTCGGAAATTTCCGATTTTTTAACAGTCACCCCCAGCCCTATTTTTCCTCCCGTCTAATTCTTTAAAGTTTATCAATAGCGTTGTATAGTCTAATCGATAGTGAGTTTAAACGACTTGAAGGACGGATAAGGACTGGATGTTTTACATAGCAAAAACTATTCTTGTTTGTCATCCATCTTATAGGACTGGTGCAGATCTAATTAGTATGGCTTGCACGAATAAGTATTAAATTGTTGTTGTCTATAAAAGTGTGACATACATATTGAAGATTGATCAGATATTATACATACTATCTATTAACTGATGAAATTAAATATTGGAATTTATAACTTACAACTAAAAGAAGAAGCGTGCTGTGTAATACTTGTCATTAGAATAAAAAAAGAGATTTAAACTCATGCTTTTCTATATAGATTCTAATAAAAAAACTTGTGTTATTTTAGGCAGATTTGAAAAAATATTAAAAAACGTTTTTTTGTTTAGTAAAAAAATTCTAACTACATTACTACATTTTATAAGAATTGATTGTCAATATCAAGGACTGTTTACGGTTACATACGATAGAAAACAGCGATGGTATATAACACTATCTATAGTTCACGTTTACCATACCTGACAATATTATTAAAACATTCTATACCATTATTTAAAAAAAAGAGCAAGCAATAGCGGTAGATTTTTTAGAGTATTTTTTAACAGTGTCGATAATATATCGTATAGCATTATGTATGAACGTTATAAAGAGGGACTGAACATGACTGTCATGTTACTACGTAATCAATTGATGTAACGTGGTTTACGAGTGAGTATGATTTACTCGGATATTGTTAAGAGAAAGACATAATTATAAGAGCTATTAGAAGCGAAAAATACGATTAAATTATCATTAGTTTATAATTAGTGAGACCGAATATTTTACTCTAAAAAGAAAAACAATGGAAGATAAATCTTAACGGAAATAACAACATTTTTTTATTGTATTGTTAAAAATATAAGAAGAAGGAAGTTGTAGAAAGAAAGGAAAAGCAAAAAAAAGTGGAAGAAGGAACAACACTATTGATTAATAATTTATCTTAAATAGTTCTATCGACAATTAGTCGTTCTTTTTCTCATAAAATATTCATTATGAACCGTAATTTTCTGGTATAGTGTATCCTTTTCTGAATTCATTGTAATTAACAGACGAGAATGAATCAAATAAAGTTGTTATTAGTATTGATGTTTGTAAAAAGAAAACATATTCGTAAAATTCATTAAAACGAAATGTGACTATATCTTTATCAGAATTTATTTAACGATTTAACAGTAAGAATCAATTCATGTAACGATAGAATTGAAAGATGCAGTCTTTCTGGAAACAACGTATCATATAACTTAGGTAAAAACATAATATATAATTTTTCTGAAGCAAGCAATGAAGTTTGTCGTGTTCAACTTATTCTCAAGTATTCTATATACATCGCCTGTTTGACTTAAATTTCTTTCATTAATTATTGGATTTCAAGGCGTTTTATATTACATAAAACATAAAGTATTTCAATGCAAATGCGGTTTTGAATAAGAACAATCTAACTATGAATAAAAATTTTATGTGATATATTCTACATAGATTTTCTAAAAACATGTTCTTCGTTTTGATAAAGAAGTTTTTAGTAAAGCAAAAGGAAAAGAAACGAGATAGACAATTATATATACTGAACGATACTTGACTTTAAGATTTTTACAGGTTTCTAAACATTCACAATTGTCCTAGAATTGAATTAAATTTATGTACTATTTCAATATAAGTAGCAATAATTCAACAGATGAAATTATCTAAATCGAGAATTTAAACTAACATGTGTTGCATAAGGACGCCGATGATTCAGCATGTATTATCAGTTGTAAAACATTTGTTTTTTCTTTTCGCTTTCATTATCTAGACAACTGAAAAAAAATTAAAATCATATTTTTGTGACCCTTCCTATAAACGAGCTATAAACTTCCTGTTCAAAACGAGTATTTTTGTGATGTTCTGTTCTTGAAATCATTGCAAGGCAAAATGGCAACTTTTATTATGTACGTCTTGAAAGCAGTCTAACATCATGATTTTGAGAATTATATCACTTTTCTAAGAAAAAATTTTCTTTATTAGAAAAATATAGCAATTATAGAACGACTACAAAGTCAACTTTTACATGTTTAAGTCATACATATGTACACGTTTAGATAACATATATCATTTTTATATTTTTTGTTTTAATTTGATCTTTAACAAATTATAAATTTAAATTTTATATAAAATTATTCAAGGTTAGAAGACTACGGTATCCTAAATAATCATTTGAATTCACGAGTGAAGATTTTATATAGATTCATAATTTAATGTAGTTGTGAGATAAACATAATATCCACATCCAGTCCTATATGTAATTGCAATCGTCATTACATGCAGAAACATTCTATTCTATTCTGCAATTGTACGTCTACATATACGTGTACAAATAGATTTGTTGTATTGGAATATTAATACGTTATTTCGCAATCGTATTACATTTTCATCCTATTTATTTGCACAAAGTTGTTTCAGACGTCTGTAAATATTGAATGTATAAATTTTTCTCATATACAGTTACAGTCATACCCATCCTCAAGCATTCACTACTTTGCTGTATTTACTAAATAGTTCGACTCATTTAGATGTAATTTGTTTCTTTCATACGATTTGCATATTTATTTATGAAATAATAATAATAATAAAATTAAAATATGTGCATCAGGATTAGATGAAAAAGGAATAAAATTATTACATGTTAATATAAAAAAGCAAAAGTGATGAGTTTATTTGGCAAGTAATAGCCCGATGAATATGGCCATCATTCCTATTACAAGATTTGTTTTTGTCATCGAACTTCCATTGCACAAATTTGTTGTACAACAATATTGGTTGAACTCTATACCCATACCCAGAGGCGTAACAGTACCCGCGGTGCAGTTTCCCTCACCAGGACCGCGTGAAACGGCGTTGTCGTTACTTTTAGCTACCAATTTCTATTGAAAACAAGATTATATAAAGATCCAGATAAGAATATCAAAATACGTACAACGCAATGATTGATATCTGTATTAGATATTTGCAAGACACCACTACCTTCTTTTTTGAATGATGGACCACATCCATCTGTACCTTGGCTACAAAGATAGCAATTGATAGCATCAGTCTTCTGCTGTATCACTGAATGATTTATATAGTAAGTATGAGTTTAGATACTACGATAATATAACTTACTGAAGACCAATAAACAAAGAAAACTGATAAGTAGCTTCATGATCAACTGTTATTCTGTGTCGAAGAAATATGATGAATCCTGTATAAAGTTAAGAATCGAATGAGAATTATGTGAGAATTACTCTAATTTATACTCGTTCGTTACTAAGTCGTTGTTGACATTATGGCCTACAGAGAAAAAAAATGAAGAAATGAATATATTTTTAACTGACACCGTTCTTTTCTGGATCATTATTTCATAACATATTCATGATAAACATATACATATACATCAAAATCATTGAAAAATAACTTTAAGTATCAACAGCCTGTTCGACGCCCACTCTCTTTATATTATATTACCAAGATGAAATTTGAAACATAATACGCTTCTGTGTATTTGCTTTTATGTTTTTATCGATATAAAATATCTTCTCGGCGCAAAAGATTCTTTAAGGTGGATGTGTATGCATGAGATGATGAAAACGGTTCCATCCAACGATATCCTCATTCACATTCTCAAGATGACAAATCAGTAGAAATAATATTATAAAATTTTCCTCAATGTATTTTTCTCGTCACGTCTATACAAACTGATGTAAATTACTCAACTATAAGAAAAAATAGCTTTTTTAAATTAAACATTGAAATAAATATGACAGAACATGCATAATATGTATATATCCTTTCACAATAGATATTAACGTTTTGATGTTTTTTAAGACACAAGTGTTATTTTTCATTTATAAACTCATATTATGAAAACATAGAAATAACTGAAGATTTCATCTAATGTTTTGTCTATGAGACACCTTTATCTGTAGTGACGTGTTCTTATCAGTACACGTTTCACTTACTTGTGTAACACAGACATGTCTTGATAAGATTTTTTTACATAATTTTTAGTGATAATCTAACAAGTATAAATATGAAGCACAATATGAATTACCGCTTATGTTACCGTTACATTAGATGCGTATCGTGTACAGGTAAGACCCGAATATGTTTTACATTAGAATACTGAAGACATAGAGATTCCGAGTTTAGTCTATGTTTTTATGAGATCATCCCCAAGAGTGTGATGAAAAACTGAATAGATATATTTTTTTTTCTGAAGAACGTTGGAAATTTAATCATCATCGATAGTAGCCGTCATTTAGATTCCTAGATCGTTTTCTGTCAATGACTGAGACGGGCGTACAAAAGAGTGTATTTTATCAAATCAAGAAAGTCTTTCTTTTTCGTTATTAGTCTAATTGAATAGCTCTCTTTAACTTCTTGTTAGAAGGAATCTTGTTCTCAATAGTTCCCCAGAGAAAAATTTAAAAGTTAATCATATGCTCTCCTATTACCTATGGAAAAGATTTTTTAAATCTCCGATAAATTAATTATATTTTTATTGTAGAGAAAAAAACTAATAAATGACTTCGCACAAAATTCAACACTGTATATTCGTCGATGGGGATTTCGGTCGACATGAGCTATTTAACAATGTTCATCCTTATACCTTAAATCGTCTTGCTAAATTAAATGATGTTTTAACGTCTAAATTACACAATGAAGAAGTGATGAAATTAATGAATAATCCATCAAATATTCATTTTTATATTTGCTACAATTCATCCTCGACAGATATTGATCACTATTACAAGGTATTAAAAGTAACTTATCCTCAAAGTATACGATTGTATTCATCGATAAATACAGCAATCAACGACTGGCAACATAAATGCGATCATATTTGGATTATACACGGAATTGAAAATACTTACCAAGAATTAATTGAACAATTAAAATTCAATAAAAAAACACAAGCAAATATTTCAAGTTATTCTTGGTTGCAAAACATAAAAGATGGCTCCGATCGAATTGAATATTTAATTAAGTAAGTTACTTGATTTATATGTGTATCGAGGCGCTTTTTAACAGATTAATTGAAACTCAATACATTTGCTAGGGACATGACTAAAAAATAATTCATATTTATATTATAGTAATAAGATACAAAATCTTAACGATAATCGAATTGAAGAGTCAAATATTGAAGTAACAACAACAACGACGATGTCTACTACGGAAAAACCAAAGAAATCTAACAGAAGACAATTGATAAAATGTGATGTTGACAATTGTAAGAAACAATTTAAGAATGCGGATGCTTTAAGAAGCCATCAATTAGCTAAACATCCAACTTCACAAGTAGTTGTACAACATGAAATAACAAAAAAAATGTCCACGCAAACTTCTATACAACAAAAGATTCATGGATACAAGAATAAACATGTAGATGTAAATGTTTTACCAGATCATCTATCAGCCAATTATCCAGTCGATCCAGTAATTACAGATGATGAAACATCGGAAACGTCTATTACAGAATATTACAAAGAGACTAATAACAAAATAAACATAAAATGCAATATTGATGGTTGCAAGAAGAAATTTTGGAATGAAGATGCTCTGTACAATCATCAATCAATTATGCATGTAAGTGATCAGACAGATACAAATGATGAAATATCATCAGTATCCTCTTCAAAAAATCGAGAAAATATCATTACAATACGAAAACACGAATGTGGTTTTGAAAATTGCACAATATCGTGCAAAAAACGACGTTCATTATATGTACATATAATAGAAACACATTCAATTCCGCTTCAATGTCCATGGAGTAGCAATTGCAAACAATCAAATTAAAACTATTTTGGGATACTTCTGTTACAAAATCATATTATATCTGAACATACAGATTCAACGATACAATGCAAGTGTCCTATTCCTAAATGTATAAATTCAAGAAATTGGGAAGATTGGTCCACTTTATTACAACATATAATATTAAGACATACAGAAAATCTATTCACGTAAGTTTTATTGTAATTCTGATTCGTGAATTTCATTATCATTCACACATTTATATATATATATATTTTAGAAGTAATAATTTCGATACACAAGCAAAAAGATTGGTACTATCTCGCATATATACTCGATATGGTCAGCCAAACCTGCCGATGACTATTCCAACTTGGGATTTACGTGATCCGTTTAAATGTTCGTATTATAATTGTAGTCAAGTGTATTGGGATGAAATAATATTGAAACGACATCAAGCACATGAACATCCTGTTCCTCTTCTATGTCCGTTTGGATCTGAATGTCAACAATCAACAAAAAAATATTTTGGCTTCTGGAAATTACGTGAACATGTCTATTCCAAACATGCACCGTTGTATTCTCAGCCAGTATGCTTTAATTCGGAATGTCAATACAATAAACCATTCGTAACTTGGAATCATGTGTTGAAACATATCCTACATATGCATTTAGAAGCTGTTGTATTCATTGTAAATTCATACACATCGTCGACAGGGAAAACAGACAAAGTATATAAGAAGTGCAGTTATCAAAATTGTAATCAACCATTTAAAACAAGAAGTACCTTCCAATATCATTTAGTAACATTGCATCCTTATCCTCTTCGGTGTCCATACAATTCTGCGTGTAATAAACTTGATAATGACAGTAAACATTACTTAGGATTAATGGAACTACAAAGACATATTGAAGTAATACATTCAGTACAATTCCTAGTGCCAATGTGTTTCAATCATCGATGTCAACAAGAGAAACATTATAAAGAGTGGAAACCGTTAATGAATCATATTTTACAAAAACATTGGCTAAATATCAGAGTGAAATGATACGATAGCTTGTATGTACATAAAATCATGTAATGTAATTTCAAAATTTCTCTTTAACTTTTTTACATATGCTCAATAAACTTTTGCTATTAGCCTATGTACATTTTAAAAGCAGGTGTGGGTGAGGCGGGAACATAATATACATCCCCACCCACATTTAGAGTTCACCGGATTTTGCCACTGCTGAAACTTTCCACTCAAAAAATAAAAACCAACAAAAATCGAAATGCTAATCAAGAAAAGAAATAGTCACAAAAGAAACAGTAATCACAAAATGCCATCAAAAAAGAAACTCTATAAAACATACAACAAATGCAAACATAAAGTCATCACTATAAGAACGTGAATTAACAACAACAGGAATTAATCAATCACAACGCATAATAAAAATAGCATGAAATCTTAAGAAATGCAAACGAGATATATCATCGTAATGATTGTCAAAAATAAATCTAAAAATACTAAAAACAACAAGTTTAATATCTGTTGAATAACTCTCATAAGAAAAAATGTAGAATATATGAAAACCAACGATTAATGCAATAATCAATGTGAATAATAACAATATATATTTTCAAAAGCTGAAGAGCATAATTGTCGATCATATATATTTCATGTTATAGATGTCCTATGTATTTAGCACGGTCATCATCATCATCATGAATACTTTGTGAAAATATTCACAAATATGTCCGATCTTAAAATGATTATTGGCACAAATTGAACATCAAGTTAAAGAATTGATTGATTGCAAACGAGTATATCTATGAAAGCAATCTGCTAAAACTAATAGACACGTATCTGTAAATAGACTTTAATGAATGATATATTTTTTTTATTAAATTATTTATTTGGGTGTGGGTGTAGGTTTGTATGTGGATGTGCGTGTGTGAAATAGAGAGTAGAAACTCATATTCATTCACACCCACACCTACATTCTCACACCCACCCACACCCATACCCTCACACCCACCCATACTTACATCCTCACCCACATCTACACCCACCCATACTCACATCCTCACCCACATCCACACGCATACCCGTACCCATCCCACAACCACCCTCGACCAGGTTTCTGACCAAGTTTTCAGGAAAACTTTATAAAATTGGGCAGAAAGTTTTTTTGAAATTTGACAGAAAGACAGGCAACTTTTCGAATTTTGTGGGGGGTGAGACTCTCCCGCCCCCCCCCCCCCTTTAACCGGAGTCCCTGTTCCACTCAATTCTGTCTTAACGCAATTCCCGGAATTCCGTAACGGAATTAGATCGTGTCCAAGCGGAATAACTTATCAGCACAACATCACAAATGTGGGTGGGAAGAATGGTGTGATTCCGGAATCGCTGGCAAGTCCTAGGAACTCCGGAATCGGTCGAGTTCGATCAATGCCGAACGGGTCTCTTATGTTCTGTGTCAATCGAGTTCCCGCAATTGAACGGAATCGATTCCAGTGCGGAACTGATTCCTCCAATGTTCAACATTGCGGAATAGGATGTATTTTTTGAGGGTGTGGATGAGTGTGAGGATGTAGGTGTGTTATGATTAATATACTCATACCATAATCACAGACACATCCACCCCTCAAGATGATTATTGGGGAGCAAGTGTTACGAGAGCAAATGTCGTTAGGGAGCAAATGTCCGAGGAGCAAGTATCGCGCGAACAAATGTAGCGAGAGTACTTTTCAGAGATTCCTCCGAATGGGAGGCCGATGAGTGCTTATCCTGCCTGACATTTTCCAATTTTATCAGATCCTACTTATGGGGAAAATATCACGTCAAAACTTTTTACTTATTTAGTAGAGTTTCGTCGTTAGTGCAAATCAAAGTAAAATAAGAGAAGGTTTTTTTTAAAAATTATTGGTCGCAAGTATATACTTTCTTCTTGTTATCCATTATTTCCACAGGGAAAATAACTGATTATAGTGCTTCCAGCTTTTTTTAGCTGGTCAAGCCTGCCAACAGCTTTTGATAGCGATTGTTGTACAGGATCTGCTTTTATAAAATCATTTTCAAATACGTCAATTCGTACGATCCATAAAAGGGCTATCATCGCCATCATGACAATGGTTGCCAAAATAAGATACGTTAAAACTGTGGTGTTTACTTTTTTACCGATAAATATAAATATAGGGATGAAAGCGGCGAACATCACTAAGTGTAAAGCAAGAAGGTTTGCTTGAAGTAAGTATTTATGTATATATACGTATTTTGCTTTTCTATGCTTTGTTTCTTGATCTTCAACAGATGTTGATGTCACTGCTGTTTCTGCTGTTTGAGTTGGAATTGCGTTCGACGTTGTATCTTCATTTTCAGTCGCCAAACGTTTTGTGAAGGAATATAGTAGAAAGCGTAGCACAACCTGTATGATAGCAAGAAATGCATTTAAAAGCCCATAACAAGCACCAAACTGTGTCATAACATCATTAACTGAAACATCACGGAAAATCCATCGAAAACACATTGCACTGCCGTTCACGAATCGTGAGTCAGTTTGTTGACCTTGTGTACAGTTAAAATAGGTATGTTCGCTTCCAAAATAGCAATCCATCTGTATGAAATTACTGGGACATGGTTCATCAGGATACACAGTCATATTAGCAAGAAAAATTCCTTGATAAAAAGCAATAGTAGCGGTAAACAAAACTGTGACAATTATAATTGCTAAGAAAAATTTATTCGAAAAGGTATTAGCATGAATGTATTTTCCATATACATCAAGGTATTTCTCAGGTGCAGCTACTGTTGGCATTTGCATCTCAATCGCCCGCGATCGTGTTGCAGCGTCTATCGTTTGCATTGCAGACGAAGGCGATTCGAATGCTTGAACTTCTGGCAATGTCGTCGTCGCTGACGTCGTAGCTCTATCACTAGCAGTTGTCAGTGAGTCAGTTTTTTTCTTTTTTCCTTCTTCGCTGGGATCGTACACTTCGATGTGAAACATTAAACGAAGTATTTTATGAAACAGGTTCGGGTATTTCCAAATAATCACATAGATAGCAATTGATATAACTACAAGTATTGCCGCACCAACACCAAAGAGGTAACCCATGTATTGACCATATGAAACAGCCATGTTCTTGTACAAAGTTAAAGTATAAAATCAGTATAGGGAACTGTAGTGGACAAAAAGGAGATTTTCTATGCAAGCTGTTGCTGTTGTTTTGTGTGTATGACTTTTTCTTTACAAAGAACGACAGAAAACAACAAAAAAACTTCCTAGGCAACATCCGACGAAGGATTAAAAAAGCCAATAGCGTATTTTATTGTATTTTTATTCTTTACATCTTTGTTGTTTTTGTCTATACAATTTATGTAGTATAAATGTACAGAATGCACTTTGTTGTCACATGAATTTTGACAACGCAACACAATCTGTTTTAATAATTTTTTATCAGTTCTTTCTACGGTCTCGTTCTCGCTGTTTTTCATCAGAGCGCTGTTTAGTCATGGACGCTTGTTGTAACAATACCGAGGAAAAAAAGCAACATTTCGACTTTTTTTATCAAGCATGCTATTGGTATCGTGGCAATGAATAAAAAAAGTAGATTCATGTTTTATTGAAGTAACATTGTAAGATCTGTTACAATTTTCTTAGAAATATCGGCGACAATTATTAATAAAAAAGAAGTTGAATGAGTCAGAAAGATGTCTTAAGATTGTGAGTAGGGCTGTGAGCGTGTGTGAAGATATGGGTTAGAGGGACATAATATCAATCGCCACACACACTCAGAATTCACCGGATTTGGTCACTGCTGAAATTTCCAACGAAATAAATGAAACCAACAGAAATACAAATGCTAATTAAGAAAAAAAATAACAACTACATGAAAAACCAAAAAAAGAAACAGTAATTACAAAATGCAATCAAAAACGAAACTATATAAGACATACAACAAATGCAAACATAAAATCATCAATATAAGAACGTGAATCAACAACAACAGGAATTAATCAATCACAACGCATACTAAAAATAGCATAAAATCTTAAGAAATGCAAACAAGATATATCATCGTAATGATTATCAAAAAACAAATCTAAAAATATTAAAAACAACAAGTTCAATATCTATTGTATAACTCTCATAAAATAAAACAAAATATAGAATATATGAAAACCAACAAGTAATCCAATAATCAATGTAAATAATAAAGATATGAATAGAAGTACAAATTATTGATATGTATTTTCAAAAATTGAAAAGCATAATTGTTGATCATCAATCATTATCATCAATACTTTGTGAAAATATTCACAAACATGTCCGATCTTAAAATTATCATTGAAACAAATTGAACATCAACTTAAAGAATTGATTGATTGCAAACGAGTATATTTATGAAAACAATCTGCTTAAAACTAATAGAGACGTATCTGTAAATAGACTTTAATGAATGATATATTTTTTTTATTAGATTATTTATTTTCCAGAGTGATTATATAAATTGGTTAATTTTTTTTCCAGAATAATTATGTTAGTTGATTAAATGTAAAACGAGAAAAAAAAGCAAAACTTTAGTGAGACCAACTTGAGATATTTCATTTGGTGGAGATGTTGATCATTATACCAACTAGAAATAGAGCTAATAACATGATGATATTAGACTGCTGTCCGATGGTACCATTCTTGTATCCCTTGCCACTGCATGCTGGGTGAGTTGGGTTGGTAACAGTAATGTTGACACTGTCGGGGCTGAGTGATACTGTATCATTGTCGACGCCCATCACAATCGAACCTACATAGCCACTTGTATAGAGGATGCCAGTGAATGTGTTACCACCAGCACACATACCGCTCGCACCAGAGTTAACCATGTATGCATTTCCCGACAAACTTGTTACCACTGCCTGTCCGCTTAAACAGCAGCAAGCAGATGTGCTGCAAGATGAATCGGGCGTGTAAGTGCCGGCCCATGACTGACATTGAGCTGCACCAATAACAATTGTCATCAGAAGAAATAGTTCCGTTAACTGCATCAGATTGTGTTTTGAAGATCACGATTTTGAAATGAAATATAAGTGAGTGTGTTCATCATTAATGGGGGGCTTTTATAGTACCACTGTGACTCTCTTTCTTGTTTACCTAATGAAAAACAAATAGCGGGAAAAAACCCGTGATAAGAAAAAAACAGATTTCGGAGAAAAAGTCGTGCACTCACAACCTCCTTTCTCCTCACAAATTTTTTCTTCCTTTTCTTTCTTTTTCGTATTCACTGTCTACAAATGTTCTTTATTGAGAGAGATTCATTTGCAACCGCCCGACTGGCTCTGAATCTTTCCGTTGTGGGAGAGAGCGTCACATAATTTTTTCAGTCTTAAGAAAATGTCTTAGAAGTTACCCAGGCTCACAGAAGATATATTTCAAACGATTTCTTGTTCCGAAAAGCTTGTATTAAAATGTTTACTGATCGAGGATGTGGGTCCGGATCTGGGTGTAGGTTTAGATATGGATGTGCGTGTGTAAAATAGAGAGTAGAAACTCATATCCATTCACACCCACACCCACACCCTCAAAATGAATCCGTATAAATAAGTATGCTACATTGAATTAATGAGAATTGATTAACAATCTCCATTTGTTTCTAAGAGTAATTATTAATATTAGAATATAAAACACTCAAATCAAAAGCATTGATTAATATTTCTCCTAAATCATAAAAGATATTTGTTGATAAAATAAAAATCTTTTCTATGAATGAAATAAGAGGTTCATCATTTAAGAATTTATTTCTAAGAAAAATCGTGACAAAAACTTTGTCGATGGTTATGAAATTTAATCATTAAATAAATAAGAAAAGGGTATGTTCGTGTGTTTGCGCCTAACACAATCGTCAAGATAAATTAGGTTTATTATTGTTTCTATACTAATGATGAAATAAGTAATATTTGTCATCGAGAAAATTTGAAGGTAAAATCTTGAAATAGATGAGAACAAATAAAAGAAACAATATTTATAATATCATCATAATTTATTCAATGAAAATTACATAAGACAAATATATTCTTAAAGGTACTTTTTATTTGTCTATTTGAATTAAAACTGATTTTTGTTTTCTTTTTATATATTCGATTAAAATCGTTTAAAAATGTTGAAATTGTTTACTATTGGTTTGATTGTTTTATCATTACTTATTGTTGAATGTCAATCAAATGAATTTTCATTAAAAACTAGTCGCCTAAAAGATAAATCGGTTTGTAAATCTTCAACACAATATTGTAATGAAAATTGTACAGAAAAGCGATTTAGATGACCACTTGAATCATGCAATAACTCAAATGATATTTGTTGTCCTAGAGAAATATGTGGAATATATTCGAAAACATATTGTCGATTAAGTAACGAAACAGCATCATCATCATCATTATCTGAATATTGTGTTCAAGCAGTGAGATCAAGTGGACATGCATAGCCTTGTAAGAAGAAAGAAGATGGTTGTAATAATATGCAATGTTCAACAGCATATCGTTAGTTTGGAGATATTTGTTTATAAATATGCCAAATTCTGTTATATAAAAACTTTCGCAATCTCAAAAATTTGTTTTTTATTTGATATTTATTATTTTTAATACAGATGTATGTCTCATTAATAAAATATCTTGTTAATCTGATGTTATTTACAAAAGATCAAACAAATGAATATAAAATACTTTGTCTTAACAATTAAAATTTACAGATTGATAATGTTGTGAAGAATTGAATGGTATAATACTCATTCAATTGGATGTGATTTGTTATAGTGTATAAAAAGAATGTGTGAGATGAATTTTGAATAAGTTTTTGTTTATTTAAAATAAACTTAGAGAATGATTATAGCTACCATGATCGAAGTAGTACTTTACTTTCAAAAAGTAAAGTGAAGTTAATCAAACAATATTTTTCATGCATTCATAAAAGATTGACATTTTTCGGGTTTAATTATTATTCTTTTCCGATACTCTTAAAATGAAACAATGTTTAATAAACTTTGATACGTTTTAGGATTATGTATATATGATCCTGAACTAAGAAATTGTCAAGAAACCTGAAATATATAATTTCACTATTGTTTACTTTAGTTTACTCGATAAAGTAAGGTAAATTAAATTTACTGTATTTGGTAAAGTAAAGATAAAGTACTACTCTTATATTATGATCTAGAGAGTGTCTGAATCTAATACAGAAAAATAATCATCCACAGCCTCACACTCATCCTCGTTTCAAACGAAAAGAAATAGGAACTGTAAGAAAAAGATTTATGTGCATATTTTATCTTGTATCTTTTATTTCTTGCTATTATCATAACTGTTCACGCTATTACTTCTTTACCATTTTAGTTGCTCCATATGTATATTCACAATATTGTAAATCAATACAAAAAAAGCTGTTTATTCAACTAATGAAAGGATATGATATATATCATTGTATAATAGTATTCAACATAGAGCACGGAAGAAACAGAATAGAATATGGTGATTAAATGAGTCATCTCCATAGAGAAGATGAATACTTTTAAAAGGAAATAAGTAACGGTGGAAACAAAAAGAAAAATAAGTGGATTTTATGCTTGAAGATGAATAATACATGACAGTGAAACTACTGGTATTTTCCAACATGTGAGGATGTAGATGTGGGTGGAGTGTAATATTCATCCCCATCCACTCCCAGAATTCATAAAAGTTGGCCACCACTGAAATTTCCAACTCAAAAATTCAATGAAAAAATACAAAAATGCTAATCAAAAGAGAAACTCTATAAGACATACAACAAATGCAAACATAAAGTCATCAATATAAGAAAGTGAATCAACAACAACAAGAATTAATCAATCACAACGCATACTAAAAATAGCATGAAATCTTAAGAAATACAAACGAGATATATCATCGTAATGATTATCAAAGATGAATCTAAAAATACTAAAAACAACAAGTTCAATATTTATTGTATAACTCTCATAAGAAAAAATGTAGAATATATGAAAACCAACGATTAATCCAATAATCAATGTAAATAATAAAGATATGAATAGAAGTACTAATTATTGATATGTATTTTCAAAAATTAAAAAGCATAATTGTCGATCATCATCATCATCATCATCAATACTTTGTGAAAACATTTTCATATATGTCCGATCTTAAAACTATTATTGGAACAAACTGAACATTAACTTAAAGAATTGATTGATTACAAACGAGTATATTTATGAAAACAATCTGCTTAAAATTAATAGACAAGTATCTGTGAATAGAATTTAATAAATGATATATTTTCAAGAGTAACTATGTAAAAGGATTAATTTTTTTTCCAGAGTAATTATAAAAAATTGATTAATTACAAAACAAGGAAAAGTCTAGTGAGAACAATTTGATATATTTCATTTTGTTGAGATGGTGACCACCATACCAAGTTGAAATAGAGCTAATAACGTGATGATATTAGCGTGTTGTGCCACGGTACCACTTTTGATTCCCTTCGCACTGCATGTTGAGTTGATTGGATCGGTGATATTAATAGTGAGACTGTCGGAGCTGAGTGACACTGTACCATTGTCGCTGTTTACCACAATCGAACCCGCATAGCCATTTGTATAGAGAGTGCCTGTGAATAAGGTACTGTTACAGACACCACTCGCACTGGAGCTGATTATATAGCTATTTCCCGACAAACTTGTCACCAAAATATGTCCGCTTAAACAACAGCAAGTGGCTGTGTTGCACGATGAATCAGCCGTGTAAGTGCCACCCCATGACTGAGATTGAGCTACACCAATAACTGTTGCCACCAGAAGAAAGAGCACTATTGACTGCATGAGATTGTTATTTGAAGATCACGATTTTGAAATGAAGCGCAAGAGTGAATATGTTCATTGTTGATGTGAGCTTTTATAGTACTACTATGACTCTCTTCCTTGTTTATTGAATGAGGCAAAGAAGCGGAAAAAATCCCAACAAAAGAAAAAACAGCTTTTGGAAAAAGACGTGCATTCACAACCTTCTTTGTCTTCACAAATTTTCTCTTCCTTTTCTTTTCATGTTCACTGTCTACTGATGTTCTTTAGTGGAAGAGATTTCTTTGAAAGGATGTAGTTGCTAGGTGGATACAGTATACACAACCTCAAGGTAAAAAAGGCTGTTCATTCAAATAACGAAAGAATATGAAATATATTATTGTATAATAGTGTTCAACGTAGAACATGAAAGAAAAAGAAGAAAATATGCTGATTAAATGAGTCATTTCCATAGAGAAGATGAATACTTTTAGAAGGAAATAAGTAACGGTGGAAACAAAAAGAAAAATAAGTGGATTTTATGCTTGAAGATGAATAATACATGATAGTGCAACTACTGGTATTTTCCAACATATAAAAAAATACATAAACTGTTTTTGTAAATTGTCATAGTTAATATTTATTCGTTGTATATCTATAACAGATCTAGCTAATTTGAAAATCAAAAACTTTGATACACAGAAACTTGATTTAGTATGATCGAACTTCTTATGTATTTACTCATATCCTGTAATAAATGAAAATTTAAAGAACTAAGATAGTAGCAAAACTCATTGTCCATGTTGTTAGAAATTTTAATTTTATCTTTTTATCAAGAGAGAACAATAGAACAAGATTAAAGTAATAAACATTGCACTGATTCACACTTTCAGCTATATTAGTTTTTATAAAAAATAGGAGATATAATACCAATAATTTACTTAAAATTAATTAAACATTTAAAAACAGAACAAATAAAAACGTATTCCCATCATAAACAGCAAGCAAAATAACCTGTCAAGTTTTACAGAAACTTTATTCTGTTGTTTAATTTCTGTAATTATATTCCTAAATTTTTCAATATATACAATAAATGTAAATAACGAGTATTTTACAATCGATTAAAATTCTTTCTGTAGTATAGTTATAGTAAGATGGTGTAATCGATGACAAAGATTTACTAATAGTTGAACTTATATGATTTTATAGTAACATCTGTAATAGTATTTTTATGAGATATATAAACATCTTTAAAAAAAAGGAAATTCATTAGTTTTTAAAAAATTGATGATCCCTAATCCGTGTTCAGTATAAATGTGATGAACTGAATAAATCTTTTTTTCCTGTCATATGAACAGTTACACTGATTTTCAATGCAGTTCAATATGTAGTTTCTTCACCGTCAAGATAGAAAATTGTTACGGTTAAAAAAAAACTACTAATATAATCTCTAGAGGATGTTGGTTTATTACTAATAAGATCTTGTATAGATTAGAAAAATCTTAGAATAATACAAATACAATTCAGAAATTAGCTAAGATATAAACATTTTATTATAATTCTTCTGGAGAATGCCGTTTTTATTTTCCTAGTAAGATTAACTTGCTTATAAGACGCTAAAGTTATTGGACAAATTATTTCTTAGACAAAATTTCTTTAGGTATATTGTATTTTACATGGATATTTTAAGAAATTCATATCTCGAAGACAACTTATCTAAATCTTCTGATATTTTTAACTATTGTAATTTGACTGAACCTATTTTAAAGGCATGACTTGCGAGAAGATACATCTACATCTTCCCGATCTATGAGTAAACATTGGTAAGTATTATTGAAATGAAACACATAACATAAAGAAAAGCAAAATGAAAAGTTTTACTAGCCGAGCAAGCAAGTTATGCGTAAGAGAAATAGCATGAAAGTAATCTTCTTTTTACTGCGCGATCATCTAGTACTTTGATATAATTTTTAGAACTATTCATATTGTATGTGAAGTGAGCAACGGTTTAATTGCAACAAATACATTAGCTATCGATGAGAAGAAGAAAACAATATCAAAATGGAATATAAAACACGAAGTAAGAGAAAAATATTGACAAAGACTTCGTTGATGAAACAATAATGAGCTGGTATGATAGATATAAGAAATAGAGAATTTCATTTTTGTTTTTTTTCGGATGCGTTTGAATCATTTTATCACGAAATGATTTCATAAGAATATAGAGAATTTTCCATGTAATAAAAAAAATATTGTTATATACTCGTTAAAAATTCATATACCTAAGAATCTATTAATATTTCTCCTTCATGTCGGATTTATATCATTTTTTATATCACTGTACAATACATCTAGACGTCTTTCTCTCTCCTGTCTTTCACATTCATATCCAACAAGTTCAACGAATGAACTTACTAATATACACTTTTCTTTTCTTTTGTTTGTCGCGATGTACAATAACGCATCTGAGTTAAGTGAGATGGTGTATCAATATCGATAATTATCTGTTGTCAATACACTCATGTACTGTCCACACTACAAATATGCGATGTAGCTCAATAATCAACTATATATGAAATATGACGATAAGTTACTCTCTACAATTGATCGTTATATATGTGATTGTAGAATTGAAGGTTGTATGAAGTGAAATATTCTCATCTGTGTCGATACCAAGTCTCAAGATAAATGCTATTTATAGTAACTTTTTTTACTGTATAACACATCAATAAATGACGTTCGTTTTAGACTGAAATTATCTTAGAGTAGAATAATTATGACTCATAGCTATTTATATACTGAACCGTTAGAATGATATGAGTAATATTACATATTCAAAAATAAAACTGATACGCTTGAAAAAGCAAAGCATCTATGCACATACATGTGTATATAACTGGTTGACTATGTACATATGTGTTCATAGGTAGGCATATTTATTGTATCAATAAATATAAAATCATATTATTATCATCTTATACGTATTTCTTTATTGGTAAATATTGAATGATCTATCTTTTTAATAATTTTTACAATTTAATAGACCGTTTCAATATAATCTTATTTATAGTACTAGATGAATATTATTATATCATTAAAAATGCTATCATACTCATTCTCAACGTTTACAATAAAAAAAAGCTTTATTTTGCTGGTATACTTAAATTTAAGGATTTATGCAATTAACTAGAGTAAAGATTTTTTCAGACCTTTATATCTTTTTAGATTTGTAAGAAAATAATATTTTCTTCAATAAAACAACAGCAAGAAAATGATTAAAATCTTCTTCTCATGTCTTGTCATATTTGGGTTCATTGCCAATGTGACAACACGCTCAGTCAAACAATCACTCGCTGGTCCTACTCTTGATACTTGGCCAACGGAAGTAGCTAAGAGATTGGACAAGATGATCAGTGATAATGCAAATAGTGGTTCTTATGCTTGTTTCGATAGTGATCAAACAACTTATCAATGGGATTTGGAAGAATCCATATTTGCATATCTTGAAATGAAAAACGTTTTAACACGTGAAAAACTCGATCCAGCACTCAAACTCAGTCCATTTTTAGATACAGACGAACATGAAGAAAGTCTCTTCTCTTACTACCAACGTCTCTGTACTACGATCGATGATGTTGTCTGTTACATGTGGATTGCACAAGCCTTCTCTGGCATGACTCTACAAGAACTCAAATTTTATGTTGATGAAATGTTGCAATCAAACACTGGTAATACAACAATCAAAACTATTTTAACAACATCAAGTAATAACTCTATAATTCAAACTGAATACGACGCACCTATACCGAACTTTTACAAAGCTCAACAAGAACTCTATAATCGTCTTATGGCAAATGGAATAGAGGTCTTTGTTGTTACAGCTAGTAATGAAGAACTGATCCGTATGGTTGTAGCTGATCCAAAATATGGTTACAATGTTAAGCCACAGAATGTAATTGGAATAGCAACACTTCTGAAAGATAATACTCAACTGACTGTATCTCGAAAACAGATTCAAGATGATACTTATGATCAAATGCAAAATTTAAATTTAAAATTGACTTCCTATCTATGGTCTCCTCAATCGATGTTCGTTGGAAAATATGGCGCTATTTTGACATATATAAATCAGTGGAAAATGCCAGTTCTTGTAGCAGGTGATACTCCTACTAGTGATGGCTATATGATGTTTCATGCTTATAATCAACAACGCGGTACAATTCGTCTATGGGTAAATCGAAAGGATGCCTATCTAACTTTAATTAAACAAATGAAGAATCAGTACGCTAGCGAACAAGAACAAAATGATCTTCCAGTTACAGCTGATAAAAATTGGATATATGTAACACCAAATGACCTTGGACCAGAAAATGGAATGTTATCGGATGTTACAAGTAAGAAGAAAGAAGTTTTAAAAGATAAGATTCATTATCTTTTCTCAGTCTCCAGAACCTACGCTAAATAATACAGTGTATAGATAGTATAATCGTAAGTAGCTCAAAGTTTATTTATTTTTATGCTAAATATCCCAGCGGATACTAGCTCTGACAACTTTTACTAGACGTAGATTAAGCGAGATATTTGAAAGAAAAAACTTGAATGTAATTTAATTGTTTACCTTTTTTTAACTTTAGATACATCGACACCTATGTCATCTATGTAAACAATAACTGTAATTGATCATATGGGTAATGGCAGACGTAACCTACAAACAATCGAAGTCAACTTTTAATTTTATTGATATTATTATTTGTAACTCATTTCTAAATAAACTTCTATTTTCCTATTAACTATTTTCTATTTGTGTGGGTATGGGTATTGTATTTCATTCAAATTCACATCAGTAAATAAAAAGAGCTTTGCCATTACTCATCAACCATATTTTACCTTACATATCTCGAAAATGTGAATGAAGTATAAATATGATACTCTTGTTCATGTTTATATTCAGTCAATTTTAATAATTAATTCTACAGCATCACTTAAAACTGAACGACGAAACTATAACGAAAATCGTATATTTCTATGTATAATATTATCTTTTTCATTACCATATGCATTATCATAACCGTATTTAAGTTCATTGTCGACTATTATATTTGAAAACAATCAAGTTGAATAAATCCAATAAAAATAATATGATCATTCAAAAATCTAAGCAAGATAAAAGTGTTACTTTATGTGCCTTCTAGCTTTTCAATATTCTTTATGATTCTTTCGATTTATTCATATTTCGTACTTCGATAATCGACACAATACTTCGTTTACTATATCACGATAAGTTTTCATCTATTTTTTTCTATGTCTATCAGTTCCTACTTTTTTGAAAGCTTTTATTTTGTGGAAGTTTATTAGAAACTAAAATTGTAAATTTAACATTGTATCTAAAAAATTTCCCCATCTTCCCACCAGTGTTAACAGTATGCATGTGATCGAGAATAACAAGGAAGAACATGTTACAATCATATCTTCATATGTCTTCACACATTCTTTCCCATCATATCTGGTTTTTCGTTATACACATTCTTTGTTTTTTGTTCTTTTTCTTTCCTGTTTTTTGTTCTTCATTCGAATAAAATACAACGTCAAGAGAAGGTCCTCTCATAGAACGACTTATATATTTAAAATAGTGTTGAATCGAAAAGTAAAATAAACCACGATGTTTCGTGTTATATTATTATTTTTAATCTTATCCGTAACATTACCTACATCATCAATATCAATTATTCGAAAAGATCGTATACGTCGACAACTTGATAATCAACATTGTGAAGCTATTAGAGGTTTCGATTGTAAATGTTCCTTTTATCGTGTAACATGTACAATTGATCATGAATTACCATCACCTATAAATATTATAGAAAATGAAAAACACAAATATCAATCTGTTGAATTAATTATAGAAGCTCCACGTGATATTCATGTTAATGAATATACATATGAACCGGTTAAAGAATTATATAGTCTCGATGGAGATCATTTCGAATTTCGCATTAAATTCGAAAAATTTACTGCACTTCATTTATCATCATCTTCAATCTTTAATCGAATATTTTCAGATAATTTACCATTAAATGCACGAACACATTTAGCATTAGAAATTTATAATCCTGAAGCAGCACCAGATGATAATCCAAATCTATTTCAAAATTTACATGCAGAGTCATTAGAATTATATGTATTGTATCCATTTCATGGTACATTTCAACAATTATTCAAAGATGCCAATATAAAATTTCTACGTTTAAGTGGTGGTGATATACGTTCGGATGTTTCTGAAACATTTACAGGCAATATCGCTCGTTTAGAGTTAGCTAAACAAGCGACCGCAATTTCAGTACATCATTTTCCTGTTTATCCAGTACATGAATTAACTATAAATGCGTTTTATGTAACCGACTTTGATACTGAACATCCACCAAATTATGCTAATTTAGGTGAATTACGTGTTCATACTACAAATCGTATACCAGCACATGCTTTTCGTCAATTTCCTAATATACATACTTTAGCTGTTCAAAGTGATCAAGGCATTGATCCACATGCATTTGATGGCTTAACTCACTTAGAAAAATTAACAGTCAAAGATTCACCACCAAATTTAGATCTTTTCAATAGTTTACCAAATCTTAAAGAATTTAAAGCAAGTATTGAAACATTAGATGAAAATACACAATGTAAATTAATTGAAAAACTAGCTAGTAGACAAGTAGCTATTCAAGCCCTACTATATGGTCGAGACTGTACATGTGTATCAGCTTATTTGGATACAGCTGCTGAACGATTCCCATGTAGTCCACAAGGTTGTGAATATTCATCATGTGCTGCAATTAAAAATAACTATAATGCAGATACAAGTACATTTAATCCACCACCAACAATTCACCGTTCCGATGGTACAGATGCTTTACGTGAACGTGAACCACGAGTATACACTGCACCATATCAAGTAACACCTCAAGATAAACAAAAACTACAAAACGCTATTTCACCACCACAACTAGAACAATCAAATGAAGATAGTCGACGACCTGATGATGATCACCAACATTCATATTCATCAAACGAATCTCATAAATCAGAAGATGCAGATGATTACTCATCAAATGTAGACAACAGTCAAACTGAGAAACCTCATGTCGATCCCTCACCTAAGTATGAAAATCCATAGGATGATCCAAATTATTATCAAACAAACGTAGACAACAGTCAAACTGAAAAACCTTGTTCTGATCCTTCATCTAAATTTGAACATCCATGGGATGATCCAAATTATTGGCAATCAGATGTAGACAACAGTGAAACTGAAAAAACTTATTCTGATCCATCACCTAAATATGAAAATCCATGGGATGATCCAAATTATTATCAATCATATAATGAATTAGAAGTAACAACACAAATAAACACACAAGATAGCTGGGAACAGTATCCAAGCGATATTACTACTACTGCTGCTACTCCTTTTTATCCGATCAATGATGATTCACAAGAAGGGCAAGATAGTGAAAAATTACAAGCACAAAACGAAGATACTGAATATCAAACTGATACAGCAACTGCTCAATCAGATGAACGTGATGCAGGTAGCAGCGAAAAAGAATATAGTCCAACAGTAACCACCGAATAGAAAACATAAACTAGCCCGGACATAAATGTTTTTTAAAATGTGCTTTTATAATTAATTGTCGTCTCGTCTTCTGTTTTGTTTAATTTTTTTATCGTCAATGGTCCTCAGCAGTTTAAACAAGAGCAAGTATCAATATTATTATTATTATTATGATTATGGTCAACATTCTCCTCTATTTTGATACATAAACACCAAAAATATAACTATACCATATATTACATGTGCGTGTGTGTGTTTTCTTTTTTTTTCTTCTTCAAATTCATTTGGATTGTTCTTATCAAAATATTTCATTTCTCTCTTTTATTATTACTCACACGATAAGATTTTTTGGTTTTTCACCTCTATATTTCAATCTCGCTTCTTGTTTTATTAAAATAAAAAACTATCTTTAAAAAAAAACATTATCTAGAAAAACCGAATGAATCCTTTTTCAAAACAAAACAGGAGAATCTTTCCTCCATCATATAAAAGAAAAGGAAATGTGAATAACATGATCAGTAACAAAGACGTAATAATATTTTTTGTATAAGTAAGTGATTGGAAAACTTATTCCAGCAATGACATTATCTAACACAGATAGATGAATCCACTTCGTTTTAGTTTTTAGTATAAGAACAGTCATCAACACATAATGGTTTCTGGAAGAATTACATTTCATTCGAATCTTTACAACAGTTTCTGAATGTTGAGTAATGTGCTGTTAAAAATGCCCTTAAGATTAGTCGCAGTCTTTATAGTCGACGCGAAATCTTGTGAACCTATCATATTTTTTTTTTGAATTAGAGAGTATGGAGATATCCACTTCACAGTTTTTTCTAAAACTGATACTAAGCAATAATGGTACATACATACTATTGAATCACCAAATGCATGTAGATATATATGTGAAGCTATGTTATTTGTATCATTAAGTGCTGTTTTTAATCTCAAAAATATTTTCGTTTCATCGAAGATAACAGAAAGGATTCTCATATATTTATCTCAAATCGAGTCAATATAGAATCGAAAAATGAATTTACTCGCAAACATGAAAAATAAACGCTTATAGCCAATACAATTGACTTCATTATATTTTGATCTACATTTACTTGTTCTTGCTTTTTTTTTCTTTTGAATTCTAATTATAATTAATATAAGAAAATAACATTATTTTTCTTGTTACCATATGAAAAATTATCTCGGCCATGCACTCAAAAAAAGTTAAAAATATCTCTAAAAAAAGTACATCGCACAATAATGACGTTTACATTTTTGCTTCGTTCTGTCAACTAAAGACACATTTTTTTCTTCTCTTTCTGTATTAAAAAAACATCATCTTAATTCTTTGTGTAGAAGAAGTTAAACTGATTTCATAACAATCTTTTTTTTCTTCTTTTCTGTTAGTCATTTACTAATGTTACTCTAGGCTGAGAATAAATATTCTTTTTCTTCTCGTTATTTTTCTGTTTTTTTGTACGAACAACAGACGTATCGTAGATAGAAAGCAACGTGTTTTTAAACAAAAGTAACCATTTGGTTACTTTTAAATATTATTTTTTATCATAAATACTTATATTTATTGATTAGTTGAACATTTTCACATATTTCAATTACAATACTAATCAGAAGACAATTAGTATGAGCACTGTTCCTGATCAAGAGCAGCAACCTCGTGTAACAAACAAAAGTTCTTTGGACAAAGCCGTGATTCGACTTTCATCACGACGTACTCTCTTTCAAATTATTTCTACAATTCCTACTTTCGCAGTCGAACTAACTTATGGTATAAAGTATCTAAATCAATGTCCTATTCAACCATTGATTAATGTTTTCTTGATTGTACATGCATGTGCAAGTCTGGCAGAGGGAATTGTTCTTTTCATAGGCTTTATTGCTGCTAAGCACATTAAAAAATCGCTCAATACTTCATCATTTACTCGAATTTTGGTCGCTGGTAGTTCGATTGGACAGCTTATTCTATTGTTTTTTTCTATTGTATGGTTAATAGTCGGTCAAGTCTGGGTATTCGGAGCTTTTTCGAATGGATTTCAATCCACGGATTCTACTCAATCTTCTACTTACTGTCATCAAACTGTATTTTGGACTGGATTTGCTATTATTGTCGTTACATATGCTATTTGTTTAATCCTTATTTTAGTGTTGGGTGGACGCTTTCTTATAAAGCGTCACAAAATGAAACGACAAACAGTTGTTCCAAATAATCAATAAAATGTAGAGGAAGCATAAATGAGCGAAGAGTTCATATTCAATTTATATATATAGGCTCTCTCAACCACGAGAAATGTCATAACATCGACAATATACTACAACTTTCAATTTACCATTTGGAGAATGTTTTTAGTAAAATAAAACAGACATTCGGGTCAGTGTATATACGCACTTAATGTTACTGATTTCCTACTGAAATTGCATTTGAAGTATCTAATAGTGTGATCTATCCTTTATAATCTTTTACGGTTCATATCTGAGAGATTTGCATACTTTCTGCAATTTTCGAACAGAAACTATTAGAACTATTGCCTATGTCTGAGATGTACGATATTACACTCCGCTGATTTATATCATCACCTTGTCTACGGAGAAAGCACTATTCCTACACTCTCCTCATACCACAATTCGACAATTTTCTTGAGTGTGGTTGTGAGAAATATATCAGTCGGTCATTCACATATACACCTACACTCTACGTTCGTATATCTTGTGGCGCATCTTTAATAAAAATCATATTAAGATAAAAAGATTTAATATAAGAATATTCGAAATCAAAAAATATATTTGCATTCTCTGTAAAATATTTAAAAGTACCATTGAAAGATAAGAATAAAGCAATTTATCTGCGTCCTTGATGAAGGTATTAGTGTTTTATTACTATGTTAAAGATAAAAACAAAATATAAAATAGTTTCGAAGAGTAATTTCTTTTTTATTTGAAACCAATTTTATTGTATAAAAAGTATGGATGACAATCATTGGCAATCCGTAGACAATACACCACAGAATAATCAGCGTAAACGTCTGAATCGTCGTTGTATTATAATCATTTGTATTATTGTTATTATCGTCATAATTCTGGCAATTCTTCTTCCTCTATTATTTAAGTTTGTCATTTTTAAACCCAAGACTTCAGGAACTACCACTGAGACAACAACAGCAACAACAACAACAACAACAACAACAGAAGCATCATTCACCGGAGCATCAACATCATTGATAATAGCAAATATCACATCTACTACGGCAATAACTACTACTTCGCGACCAGGTAATGTATAAAGTAACGATTTTACCGATTTAATCTTTAGTCTTAATCCAACACATTGTCGAAGAGAATTTCTAAAGTATTTTTAGAACTCTCACTTAGAAGAATTCTGGTGTTTGTTGTGATGATGTTTCGTTCCTCCTTATTATTTCTTTTCATCTGATTTATTATCCGTATCTTTCTGTTCTTATTCTAAACGTCGCGTGAGACTTTGTCTCCATGTGATTTTATCCTTATTATCCCTTTCTTTCTCATTCTTTCATTTTCTCTGATGTATGGGTATATAAGTGTGTGCTTTGTATAAAAACGATGGGATTCCTGATAAAAAGAAATATAATAAAGTGTATTACTATCAGCACAAACACTTGTTCTATCAGAAACTATCACATCTGTTATTTACTAGGTATCTTAATATTAAGAATGATTCTTTCTAAATCTTTTTCAGTTCTCGATTAAATTTTTTGCAGAAGATTCTAGTGTCCGTTCGAGATGCGCGACTTTTTACTATAAATTTTAACTCGTTTGAATAATACAAGTTTTAATATCAAAATGAGCATAGGAAGATAGTAGTTGTATTTTTGATATATCAGTGTCGAAATACAACTGAGGTAAAAAAGTATAAAGTATTTGAATTCTAATTATATGCTTATGAAGATACACAATAACCATCTTGTGAATTGTTTGAAAATTCAATTACTTTGTAAAACGTGTTTATTTCCTATTCGAAATCAGAATTAGACAAATAAAAATAGAAAACGAATAACAAGTAGATATATATCAAATATAATAATTCTAAAAAATAAAATGCTAGTGAAAAACACTAACATGCATGATACAGAACCATTTACATGTAATTTATTGTCGTCAGATATTAACTAGTGTTTATTAGAGTCTCATTATTATATGTATTTTGCATTGATATAATAATGTTAGAATATAGGCATATAAGTGCTACGTTGAGTCATAAGAAAATGTGTTAACAGATTTTTTGCATTATCATCATCTTTTGCGATATTATATATAGTTTTATTATCAATACTAGTCATATAAGTATAACTGACAGAATAAAAACATGTATTTTAATAAAAAAGAGAATTCAAGTAGCTTATGACTGATTTATTTGTGTTATTTGATTCATTACGTAAATATGTTCATATGTCATTAAGAGTTAAATTATAATATTAGTTTACTCACAGATTATGGAAGATATAATAAATTCTAGAAGTAAATTATCAATTTGCGCCATCTGAGTTACATATAGAGATAGATATATTGCAATGCTTCTTTGTGTGTTCGAGATAACATAGGTTGTATTTTTTATCAGTTATTCAATGGTGTAAGACAAACATCACACTGCTTTGAATAATAGTTTTTATTTTTAATGGTAAATTAAAATTTCTCATGGAAGAATATCTAGATCAGATGGAATATGAATCATCTGATACTAGAAATAACAATAAACAAGAGCGTCGACGTTGTAACCGTTTTACAATTGTATGCATTATTTTAATTTGCTTAGCAATCTTGGCAGTTATTTTGTCTTTGTTATTCAGATTTGTTATTTTTTCAGCAGAAGAATCATCAACTACCATTATTACAACTGTAACAACAACAACAACAACAACAACAATAACCACTACTCGAGAGCCAGGTAACCTGAGACTAATATTTTTATTCGACAAAAGTCTAGTCTTGATTCTGCCTAGAGTTTCTCTTATGAAGTAAAAATATATGATCTTTTGATGATTCGCTCTTGATCCTTGTAAAAAAATCTTATTAGAAATTTTAATTACATATAAGGCAATTCTTCGTAAAAATAAAGTAAGAGTATCTGAAATATTGATTGATCAATTTATCATTGTATATTCTTCTTTATTAATCGCAATAAGATTTCAAAGTAATTCTAAAAATTAAAATAGATGGTTTTTGCATTACTCTTGAATACATAATATATTTGTTTCTTATGTAAAATCAAAATAATAGATATAGATATTTTTACTTATTTTTCAAAAAATGTAATTTATATTCAAGCTTTATTCTAACTTGCACTTTTTACAGACGAAACTAAATGATTTAACATTCTGGATTTAACTATGATTAGATTCTTCTTTTTAAACAGTTAAACCAAAAATTAATATACTATCTCTTTAACAGATTTTTCTTCTCGGTAACTATTTACAAAAGTACTCTTTAGATGCACATTACGTATATTTAATGACTTTTCTAGAATGGAACGCTACTGGTCACATGCATGAGGCACGACGTAAGCATGCTACATCTGTTTTAGACGATGGAACACTAATCGTTACTGGTGGACAGGGCAATAGTGGTACTCAGTTAAAAAGCGTGGAGTCCTATTCTCTCTCAACAGGAAACTGGATACCTATTAACGACATGATTTATACACGATTTGATCATACGTCATCCAAATTAAAAAATGGACAGATCATAGTCATTGGTGGATACAACGATCGCGGCCCGATGAATACTGTTGAGTTGTACAATTCTACAACAGGATATTGGGAAACTCTTATACAACACATGAACTTTGCACGCAGTATGCACACTACATTGATTTTACCAAATGGCAATGTGTTAGTTATTGGTGGAGTTAGTACAAGTGGTTCTTTGAACAATGCTGAATTATATGATATATCTGCAAAAACTTGGGAAAATATTGGTATTATGAAACATAAAAGACATTATCATACGTCATCCTTATTAGATAATGGAATAGTATTAGTTACTGGTGGATATAATGGTAGTAGTGTCCTGAATAGTGCTGAGTTGTATAATTCATTAACACAAGTTTGGGACAGTACTAGTAACATGATTTTTTCACGGCGTGAACATACCGCATCTGTTTTAGACAATAGAAAATTATTAGTGACTGGTGGATGGAGTGGTAATGATCCATTGAATAGTGCCGAATTATATGATCCAATAACAAGAAATTGGACAACTATAAGATCTATGAATGATGCACGACGTGAGCATACTGCCTGTAAATTACCAAATGGAAAAGTGTTAGTTATTGGTGGACGGAATAATAACATAGCATTAGCTAGTGTCGAATTGTATGATCCATCAACAGGAAATTGGACATATAATGGCAACTTGACTAATGCACGATATGGACACACCTCATCTATAATACACAATACGACAGTGTTAGTTACTGGTGGAGTCGATAGTACTGGCTATTCTTTGGATACGTCTGAACTATACTATCTTCCGTAAGCAGATTGATGAGAAACACTTAATTCACTATCGAAACAAAGTGTCCTGACTTTGAAGACTATTTTAATAATTGAACATTTAAATTCTAATGAAAATAAATAAAACGTTCTCAAAGTATCAGAATTTTATTGTTATGTGGATAGATGAATCAGTGACTGTCAAAAAAATAAGGATATGATTCACTCTTTTATATTCAACTAAAAAGTTTATTAGAAAATTAAATTCATTGTCAATGCTAAATAATTGTTTTTTGTCTTTTGAAGAAAACAGAAGACACACAACAATTGAAAAGCATAAATTGATTTCATCATACAATTAAATAACTCTTAAAGTAAGCTGATTTTTGTGGTATATGTATTGAGGAATGATGGCAAAAAGGTCAAAATTATTCTTAAATATAAAATACTCAAATTAACGTTTTATTGAATAATTTCATAGCCATGTATTAATTTTCTCAAATATCGTACTACTGATTTCAAATTGTTTTCTTTGAATACAAATGTTGTTGGTGGGTGTTATAAATTATAATTTATCAAGTTTTGCATTTGCGACTTATCTCATATATCAAAAAATCATATAAAAATCTGTTAGCGCAATCCCTGTACGATTGTAATGTGAAATACGAAATAGCTGTTGTGACATATAAGCTAATGCGAATTTGTAACGTCTCTCACGATCTATAGTATAAATTAAATTAACATTCATGTATCCTATGTAATAGTTGGAATAAAAGAGAGATAAAAATAACTAAGATATGTAAATAAAAGTAAAAGGATATTTAACAAAAAAAATATTCCATTAAACATATAAATGTCTATTTAGAGATAATATACTTATAACCCAGAAAAACTACTGAATGTTTTTTTATCATCTCATGACAATATATTACACAAGAATTCATAAATATTTTTCAGTAGAAAGTTTTTATTTTATTTGATTCAATCTCATTGTATAATTTTGATTGAAAAAATGCATTTAATTCTTTTAATAAACTCTATAAAAAAAAGGACGACCATTTATTTGATACGATAATCATTTTATTCTAAAAAGTTTAAATTTACAACTAAATCATCGGTACTATTATTTAATAAACTAAATGACTCCAATATGTTCGTATTCCAGAAGGGTGAGTGTGGGTGTAGGATGCAGTAAGACGTTGATATACCACCAATGTACGTGTAGATGTGAACAAAACTTTCAAGGTTTATTTTCGCATACATCCCTTCCCATCTTCATAATAGATATTGCTATATTAGTTTATGATTTTGTAGTATTTTATTGTTTCATAGTGATCTTTACAGAACAATCTTAAAAAGATAAATTAGAGAAAGTAGACAACAACTACAAAAAAAGTATTAATTGTGATAATAAAAGGATAAGATGTTAAAAGGTCTATTTAATATTAATGTCTTGCTTGTAGTTGATTGAGAAAACGGTATCCAAGACGTTTGAATGCTGCACGATAAAGTGTACCAGTAAGTGTATACAAATAAAATGAAGTTGTGTGGGTGAAAAACAAGAGAAGTATTATTATAGAATATAATAAATTTTCAATAGCAACACGATATGCACTTTTTGGAACATCAGATGTTAGACTAACATATGAACGATCAACTCCAAACGGTAAATCCAGAACAAGAACAATCATTACCTAAAATAATTTTATTTACATTTATTACATATTATCTATACTTAGTCAGGTGATTAAAAAAAGAGATAAACTAACCTGAACTAATAACATCCTCGTAAGATTACGATCATTATTTCGTGTTACTAGTGCATTCGTGCTTGTAGTAGTTTCACTAATTGAATTGGCTGTAGGTTGAATAAATCTTGCTCGAGCATTGCGAATAGTTAATGCACCAAAAATGGCTAAACATATGCTTGGAAAAACGATATCGATTAATATGTTACTCCAATCACTAATTAGTCGACAAGTAAGATTTTGAGCATAACAAGCAACCGGAACATTAGGAACACTTGCTTCAAAACAATACAATATTTCAAGAAATGCTAATGCAAAAAATATAAAAATTCCAATGAGATATCGTTTTGCAGTTTGACTTGTACTTAATCGTCGATAGGCAGCTGAATAACTACTACATAGATATCGATCCATACTTGCTCCAACAAGAGCCCATATAGCTACTGCCCAACTAACATTAAGTAAATACAGACGAATTTTACAAATTGGTCGATTTTCATTTGGCCAATTAAAATTATAACTAGAAATTAAAATACACACATTTTTACTATTATCAAATCTGTTCAGAGCATTTAATAAATTATACCAATTATGTAAAAGAATTCTTCTGCTATACAATAACAACGTACTAAAGCTCTTAAACTTACCCTTGTAGAACTCGTGTTAATAATCCTGACCATAGAAACACAACAGCTGATACTGAAGACCAACAAAGATAAAATGCACATGGAATTTTTCTTAAAGAATTTTCACTTAAAACCAAAACGTTGAGAACATTACCAATTGTACCAAAAAGCAGTACGACTGCAGCTGCATGACGATTAATTTGTATTGTTGCAAAATTAATTGAAGATATTAAATTTATATCATTTGACATGTTTTCTTCTTCTTAAATATGCAAATTTTAATTGATGAAATGGAAATCTATGAAAAGTAAATAATAGAAATCTCTCAATCATAAGATACAAACTTACGTAATTTCTACTTTATTTTCAAAAATATTTTTTATAAACTGGTTGTCCTTTATCACGAACTAAATGTTTTTTTTAATCTTGTTTCAAACTGTTATATATTATCTACATCGTAGCGGAAGTAAATGAGATTGGAACATTCATAGTGATAATGCAAGTTGTGATAGTTTAGAAGAAAAACAAAGAACTATCACTAAGTTAATGAGGTTCATATACTTTATTTGCGTGATCATATAAAAAAAACAGAAGTAAAACTAAGAATGTCCCGAGTGCGAATAATATTAGTAAGTAAAGCGGAAATAGCATGCGATTCACTAGAGGTGAAAAGATGTTGCATGTGATAGATCAAACTGAGACTAATTTGATTATTAAAAGAAGAATTAATTAAATATAAACGAACTTTTAAACGAAGATAAATTTTGATTGAGCTATTTTTGAATACGAAATAGAAAAGTTCATTTTCTATCAACATTAATAGAAATGATGATTTCATTTAACAATATTGATCGACATAGTTTGACTATGATAATATATGAATAAGAAACAAGTTTTATTTTGTTTAGAATGCATTTGAAAAATACAATGTATAAAAATATCTTTTCAATTCTTGGAAATTTAACCGAGTTAAAGTAGTTACTATATTTCTTTGAAAGAAGTCAACTGTAGTGATTCACTGAGCCGTATTTGTGATAAAATTTTCAAAAGTAATTAATTTAAAAGTGAATAGTTAATGTATTTTCAACTTTTATTAGGAATATGCTGACTTTTGATATCTGAAGAGTTTGAATTCTGCTTTTTAGTTGGCAGATACAAATTTCAGTATCTGAAATAACTAGCCTATTGAATCAAAGTGAACTGGAGATTTTTAAATTTTTTATTGGCATGCCATTTATGTGACATCCTGTATTTCTGCTTTTTTTCACAAAAACAATCAATGCAATTCGACTATTCCATTAGTTTCATTAGTCGAATGCCAATTTCGCTTTCGTTGAAAAACTGGTATTTGGAATATGAGAATAAATATTTAGTAGCATTCTTTGATTCGATACATGATGAATTATTACTAGAACAGTTTAATATTAATTAATTCAGAAAGTTATGACTATGAAAAAGTGTTTTCAATCGAAAGTCTGCATTGTTCTAAAAGATATATTACCCATATATTTGTTATTGATCGAAAAACTGTTCATTATAGTTTTCGCCTGATAATTAATGAATATTTTCTAGTAGTAGAAATTGCGTCATTTGATAATGCATTCGTAGGCAACTATTCTACATATTTCACATTTTTTTCAATGAAGTGGTTATGCATCGAAAAATGAAAATTGTGTAAAAGTCAAAGTTCACACATTTTCAAGTTCCTAACAGAAATACAAGAAACAAAAAAAAACAAATTGTTGAGAGGCATTTATTTCACAGTTCTGACTATATAGGTAATGATGTAGAATATTATTTTAATTTATAATTGACGTATTTTATGAAAGGAAAGTACTGATATTTTTCTCATACCTAGGGTAGTAACTGATTGATTGTTTTTCTTTTCAATCAAAAAAAAACAATTTTCTTATTTTCTCTGTGCACCTATATATATATAGGTGTTCTCACAATTTGGTAAATTAATCACTATTGTACTCAAGTATTACTATATACATTACAATATTTACTACTGAAATGCCTGTGGTTTTAACTTCTACTCGTGTTCTCGTCGATGAACCTTGTTGCGATGAAGTTCAAGTAACAAAATATGTTCGAAGAGTTCCAATCTGGAGTTCTCTGTACTTCGATAGCCCAATAAAAGTAGTAAGCGTTGATTCAAGACCAATCATCACTCGTACAACACGTGTTACGGTTCGCAAACCAGTATTTAGAGTTCTCATATAATAATATCTATATTTTTTTGACAACTCAAATAATATAATAAAACATGCATGCGACAAGAAAACAACTTATCTTATAATTATATAACGGCTTCTCCAAGCGTAACGCGATGACGTTTTGGCTACAGTTTTATTAGCTTTTCTCAAGAACTAGGTAGTGTAGAAGACTCATCCTTTCGGTGAAAGATGTACCTCTATCATCCCCACAATTTGTGAAAATATCACCTCATTTGAACGAGCCGTCTGAAAATTACAGTAAAAATATATGACGAAACGCGATGATGAATTAGGGACAAAAAATCGAGGGTGCTCCACTTCTTGCTTATTTTTCTCTGAATATATTCTACTGTTGAAAATTTTTCTATCAGCAGGTAATAGAAAACACTTCGGCCTATTTAACGAAAGAAAAAAAATCTCTTTAGATCGTTTTATGGAGGGTGATATTTTTGTCGCATTAACGTAACGCGATGATGATTTTGTAACGCGATGATGAAAGTCAGAAAATTAAGTACTGTTTTCCTCTATGAGGGTCCTTGAGAATCTGATAGATGTGAGTCTAGCCTCTCAGTGTTGTAGTCTAGAACAACATCCAACCATTTGATGCTATACTATAGAAGACTATAGTCATGAGATTTAGATCGAAAGTTTTAAAGTCTGGTCCCCGAGTTGACGCGTTACGCGTTTTAGCCGATAAATAAACAGATATGCTTTTTTTTGTGAGAAGAAAAGGAGAATAATTTTAGTTGATATGAAATACTAGTGAATCTGTATTATCAACATCTACTGATGATTATTCAAGAATGCTCTGAAGTATTTTCATAATGTAAATATTACATTGATATGACATGATCAATGAATGTTGGAAAAGAGAGATTTGATCTAAAATACAAATGAAAAAAAAATAGTATGATCTTATACAATTAAAAACATGTATTTTTATTCGAAACAAAAAATTATAAAGAGCGTCAATAGATATTAAACGATTCAGTAAGAAATAATATTCATTGAATAATAATGAACATCGTTATAGTGTCACAATAAAACAACTCGATTCGGTAATATATTAAATAAATATAACTAAAGATATATAGATAACATGAAAATAAATAAAGTGTCTGTGTAAATGAAATTTCGATAGAGGATCTTATATAGTTAAAGAAAAGTTTACAACAGACAGATCACTTGTTCTATAATATTAAGTAAATATAAGCTCGATTTTCTCTAATTTAATTAGTTATTATTAAGATCTTTCAAATATTAATCCAATAAACATATTACTTTTATATTTATGTGTAAATTTCAAAAAGCCATTGATATAATTTTATTTTGATTTTATGTTGAATTAAATCAGTTGTTACTCTCTTGAATTTATTTTTATATTACTTAAAAGTTAAGATATTGATTTAATTACAAACTCATTTCTGTTTCAATAAAATTATTTGATCACAAAAACTAATGCTCTATTATATAAATATAATATAATATTTTTCTTAAACCATAAACGATTAACACACTCAATGAATAGATTAAATTTAGTTATATATCAACCTCGATCATATCGAATACACACATCGACTTTTGCTTTCTCTTACTATTAATACACAAGTTGGTGTATAATATAATCGTCGTGTTACTAGTAGATTTTTTTTTGTTCATTCTGTTATCGTCTATATAACGATATAAATAGTATTCAAATAATCTATGTATAGTATCATAAGGATGACGAAGCAAAAGTTTAATTGTACAAATAACATACGATAGTATCAAGTCATGATGACGAAGCAAAAAAAAGAAGATATATATGTACATTATAGATAAGAAAATGTACAATAATCTTTTATTTAAATTTCGAACGTAAAATGAAGGCTGTCGGTTTAAAGAAATATGGTGATATTAATGTTTTTGAAGATATCGACGTACCTAAACCATCTGCTCCTCAAAAACAACAATTACTTGTTCGAGTAAAAGCTACTAGTGTTAATCCAATTGATGTCAAAGTACGAGGAGGTGTTTATGATGATTATCCAGATTATTTTGATCGTGTTCCACTTAATAAAGATAAATATCAAATTCTTGGCTTTGATTCAGCAGGTATTATCGAACAAATTGGACCTGATGTAACTCGATTTAAAGTTGGTGATGAAATCTATTTCGTTGCTTCACCTTTTGGTCATGGAAGTGATGCTGAATTAGTTCTTAGTGATGAACGAGGTGCAGCATTGAAACCACGTAGTCTTTCATTTGAACATGCTGCTGGTATTCCATTAACAGCACTTACAGCTTGGGAATCACTTGTTGAACGTCTTGAAATAAAAGAAGGTGAACAAGCAGCTATTCTTATTATTAATGGTGCTGGCGGTGTTGGATCAATAGCAACACAAATATGTGCTAAAATTCTTCGTTTACCAGTTATTATAACAACAGCATCAAGAGAAGAAACAAAAAAGTTTAGTAAAGAAATGGGTGCAACACATGTTATTAATCATCATGAAGATATTCGAAAATAAATAAATGATTTAAAATTAAATATTCCATTAAAATATGCATATATAACTCATACAACTGTTGATGAATATGTTAAAATATGTGCTGATGTTCTATCACCTTTTGGAAAAATGTGTTCAATTGTTCAAGGAAATTTTGATTTTTATGGTACACCAAGTATGGCTAAATCTTTAACATTTGTTTGGGCATTATTAGGTACAAAAGTACGATATGGTATTGATATAGAAATGCATGGAGAAGTACTTGAAAAATTATCTAAATTAATTGATCAAGGTGAAATTAAATCACATGTAACACAAACCTTTGATTTTAATTGTGAAAATCTGAAAAAAGTTCATGATATTGTTGAAAAAGGCAAGGCAATCGGTAAAATTACTTTAAAAATGAACACATAATTATATTATCTTTTTTTTATGTATTGTTGATAGTTTTTATATAATATAATCTCGCTCGTTCTATATTACTTTCAATTTTCTTTCCTTACATATATTTAAATAATGTGAATTCGACTTATTCTAAAGATGTTTATCTTGTTTTAAACTGAGAAAATAAGTTTGATTAGCCATGTAACACATATATTTTTATTTATTATCAATGATTTTAAAATAATATCATATACCTATATAATAGTTATAGCATGACGTAATTCCTCTCAATACTCTTTGATATTATATCAAACGAATAAATACTGAGAGGATTATCTAGTACTTTATATTTTTAATTCTCACACTTGTATATACTTAATATAATAATAGCTTCGTAGAAAACAGGAAAAAAATGATATTTTTGATGTATCTCATTTTCACTAATTAAAATGCAAATATCTATCAAAATCATCATTTTAATGCAATTCTTTTATTCCCTGGATAATAGTGGTTGAGATTTATACTAGAATTTTATTCTAAATAATCGTTAACTATTAATCATAGAGTATTTTGGAAAGGGCATATTATTTAATAAGTTATTTTTATCAGTTTATAATATCATGGAAATTTAGTATATTTTTGATCTGTATAACAAAAGAAATATATACATATATCTTTCTCTCTTCTTCTTTTCATCGATAGGTAAACTATCAAACTAGTAAATAACTCAATGTGATTAATGCATTGATGTTAGCAAGATTTTCAGTCGAAAATTATAACTTAGATTTATGTGAAGGAATGCAATATTTTAGATAAATTCGAATGAAAAAGTCAATATATCAGCAAGATCATAATTCACACTCATATATATTAGTATCGAAATTTTCTAATTGTAGACGAAATTTGAATTTTAAAGCATTTTAGTATGTGAAAAGATTCTTTAGTTAGAATTATTTCGTGATAAATTTTATTGAAATTTTTTGTATTCAACAAAGACAATTAGTTATTTTCATTGTATGTCATTTAATAGTAATAATGTTCTTGATATACACAAAAAATATTAACGAATAAATAATATTTAGTTAATCTATAAAGTGGGTTTGGGTGTGAGATAATTATAGTATACGTACATTCACTAGACCACAATAGTTCCACATCAATTTCTTTCTTTGGAACTGTGCAACAGTTTTTTTCATAAGAATAATATTATTCAATATCCAGAAGTATCATTCACATACCGGAACAGTATTGTACAGTTTTAAGAATAATATATTCTGGTTGTGGGTAATTTTGTTCTGTTATGAAAAAAATGTTTGAACAGTTCTCAGGTCGAACGATACGGTCCGTTCTGAATCTGTACCATAGTCGTTTTGTCATGGTTTACATCTCGAAAACGCATTGTGAAAGACTCTGTTTTGATCGAACTGGATTACTAAGAACGGAACCATTCTAGGCCTAATATTCACACTCACCCACCGCCACTCTGATCGAAGATTTCAGTTGTAGTGTCTCTGTCTTTTACTCTTTCCTTTGTTTAATTTTCACTACGAGTTGAAAGATCAATTTCTATGCCTAACGTTAACGATCTACTCCGTTTACGAAAAAATTGATCATCTTTTCTTTTTGCACTCTCCATTTTCGTTTTCTCGTGAAAGTAAAAACCAAAAAATACGTGTCCCCAGTGGAATATACATTTTCTCTGGATGGTGAAATCCGAAAAAGATACGCGTTCTCTCCTTTTTCTGAACGCCAACTAACATAGCAAAGCTGTTATCTACATCATTCTTAGTTCCGTATTACTCCCATACTTCTCGCGATACAAATAAAACAATATATAATATATAAATCTTTTTTATTCATTTTTCCAACCAAGCTTGTTTTTTTAAAATAATCAACAGACTTTTTATCTTGTACAATCATTTTAAGCTTTCGACAACTGTTTTTAAATGCATCGTCTTCCCTATTGAGACTGTGCTGACATTGTATTGCTTTAATAATATGACCTAGTTATGTTTTACTTCCAGATTGTATAAGAAGAATAACGCCTTCACATCTGGATTGGCTAACATTGACATCAACGGTTTCAATTAACAGATGTTTTGGTGAAAGACAACCCTTTGTATCACACAAATGTGATCCTACAGCAAAAGGAAAAGTTATTCTAATAATCAATTATAATAGAAATATTTTTTACTTACCACTGTTTTCGTTTTTTCTATTAGACAAGTTCGTAAAGAATGGAGAGTGGCATCGTAGTATAATGTGTGATTTATAAAGCTTCACGAAATCAATATAATGTGTTTTGATAAAATATTTAATTTTTGTTTGCACGTTAGAAGGTATGGAACTATTTCCATAAAGTTTTAAATTAGGACGACGCGTAGTCTGTGACTTTAAGTATTGATCAGCGATGCACCTAGACATCCACTCTGCAAGATATTTTCCTAAAAATAAGAATTTTATCAATAAAACAGTTACAGAAGAAAAACTCACTGTTATGGTCGTCACTGCTTTTCATTTCCTGTAGTTTCTTGATGATAACACATTCCGAAACATGTTCTTTATTAATGCAATCAATGCATTTATCATTATTTAACATTTCCTCCATTAATTATTTTGCTTCCTCATTTTTTAAAGACTGTAAAAATTTTGTGCTGATTCGATCCGTTTACTATCATCGGTACTTTCCTCTGTCTTCATAATAATTGCTTTCGTTTCCAGTAATGATGATAATTCTGCTCTATACTTCAAATATCTCCGTCGCTCATAAAATTTTTGCTTCAAAAAGACAAGCTCCATTAGTAAATTGGTTGCAAAGTTGTAAATTTGCTTATCTTTCTCGTTTTTTTTTTCAAAACCAAAATCCGCTGGGATATCAGTAAATTCATATTCTGTTGAATTCGTATTTTTTTTAAAAGTTCAATAAAACAAGCTTGACTAACTGCAATAAATTTTGTTTTCGTATCGTTGGCCCAGTAAGAGTTGTTAGATACCATGAATGAAATTCTATTCTAGGAAATAATGTAAAAAGAAAGTAAAATAAGATAAAAACAAAAATAAGAATCGAAACTTACTTATTATGCTGAAGTGTTGAGTGAGTTGAATGAGCCTTATTGTCACTTTGCTTGTTGACCACAAATACAGTGAAAATTGGCTACAAACATACATATTTATTGTTAAAAAGCTGTTTCCTTTCTTTAATGTTCTTGTTTCTTTTTTGTACGTTCTCTCTCTAGAGAGAGAGAAACAGAAATATTAAAGCAAGGGAACCACTCTTAACAATAAATGTTTGTTTGTGGTCAGTTTTTACTATATTTGTGGCCAATGAGCAAAGCGGAAATAAGACTCATTACGATCGCTTGGATCAAACCGCGGTAACCTATTCAGAAAAAAATGATAGGTTGAAAGACTATGAAATAATAGCAAAATCGATAATTCGTGAATATATTTTGTGAAGTTTAAGTTGCAATCTTTCTAGTGTTAGTACTAAATAAAGTTATGAGAACAACGTTAATCGAGTCGTATATGAAAGAAGAAAATAAAACACATGAGAAGAAAAGTAAAAAAAGAAATGATGTATCGTATGAAACGATTGATAAGTGTAAAAACGTACACTGATAATGAAGACACCATGTATTTTGTATTTTTTTTCTTCTGTTCTGTCCACATCGACCATGGTATATCTCTACATATCATATTAACGTTTTTATGTTCTGTTCTTTTTTCTTTCACTAACCAAATGATGATGCGCTGAATCACAAAATAATAGGCCGCCACGTTAAATTCAAAAAATTGTAAAAATATCTTTTATATTAGATTTGATAAATAAGGCATAGGATTTGTATGAAATAATAACAGAAACTATCAAAGAAATAGATAAAGATAGAAAAAATGAATTTATTTAACAATATCATTACGTCGTACTATTTTCTTCCGTTTTCTAATAACAATATGAAAACTATCATGTGCATTGTCCGTTAGTACAATTTTTATTGTGAAGATTATAATTTTTGATTTTTAATTTTAAAATAATAAATATGATTGATATGAAACTTAACGAAAAGACGAAAAAAGATGCGGCCTGTCACTCTACGTGTGATACGAGGGAAATGCTATAAAATGAAATTTTGTTAAACATATGTAAAGGGTAATACAGCTTGTCCAAACGTAACGCTGTTACGTTTCTGACAAATTCCTTAGCTATATATGGTGGTTTAACCGTTGCTTTACGACTAATAATTCCATATATTATCAAATTAATCTTCTCAATTAAAAACTGTTCTCGAAATAATCAAGTTACTCCTGATATATAATACACACATGAACACTCTGTTTTGCTCTCTTCGCTTATATATTGTAATCAATAAAATAAAATAAAAAAATCGATTTGTTATATTATATATCACCAGCGTTACGAAGAATCAACGCACAAATAACAACGTAGCTTGATATAAAATCGAATATTATCGCACATAGCCGTCTTGTTATCGTTCATATCAAATTGAAGTTTTATCTCAATATTAGTTGTTTCACTTTCAGGATATGAATTGTAACCTTGTTTTTGTAATGTCCATACATTTAAAATTTTGTTGTCTTCATTTCGTTCGATCACAATGATATCAACATATTGATTACAATCACTAATAATCTGTAATACTGCAAGTTCATGAAGAAAAATTGATCTGTAACGTGTAACATCAATTCGTTGACTCATTGTTACGTTTTTCAATGAATTATTTTTAATTAAAGATCTATTAGCAACAAACATACAATCGACATCACGATTAGCACTGTGATTATCATTCATTAATTTTGTCAATAAAATCGAGTTAGATGGTTCAACATTCCAATCTTCTTCCACACGTTTATGACAATCAGCATTTCCATTACGAATTAAAGGAATATCATAAGCAATTGTTCCATTTGGCAATATCGTATTTTCAATGGAAATAGCTGAATAAAGTTGTTCATCAGTAATACAAGCATTGAACAAATTCGAATGAGAAAGATTAGCCATCAATAGATTAACT